CGGCGCTCCATACTTCATGAACACACCTCCCAAGAACGTAATCACATGTCGAGTCTCGGTTGAATTCACAGATTCAAGCATCACATACTTCGAAAAACTGTCGACAAGCACTATGATGTGTTCTTTCCCAGAAAACTTCGGCAGTGGTCCCAGATGATCTGTCATGAGCTTCTGGAAGGGTCTCTGCGCGGCTGGAACTGGATTACACATTCCTTCTTGGCGTCCTGCCTTTTCCTTCGCATACAGGCACTCCAAGCAACATCTTATATGCTGCTCCACGTATTACTTCATTCCAACAAACCAGTAACGCTCTCTGATCATGTCAAGCGTTTTCCCTGACCAGTCGCGCCACTTATTCTCAGCGCTCCAGCGATGAGCTCTGCCATCTACGTCATCATAGTCTGATCCATCGTCGATTCCGGTGTCGTCGTGCCTTCCTGAGCTTTTTCCGTGATAATCTCGGTCTCCGTTCGTAGCTGACCTGCACCTCGCGGTCCACTCTACTTCTTCGCTGAACTTCGATCGAGGTCTTCTGTCTTGCGTCTGAAGAGCGTACAGCTGGAGACCCAACTTCTGAAGTGTAAGGACTGATACTTGGGTCCAACTGAAGCTGACAAATGAAGAGATCACGTAATTTACGGTAGCTCGCGCACACTTCGATTTATTCCAAGTTACTCTGTTATGGTTTCGGAATCCCCTCGTTCTCTACGAATTCTTTCCTTTGCCGCTTTTCAGAACTTTTTCAAACATCTATTCCCTAATCATCAGTCACAGAGCTCTTCAATCCATGCTCCCCTAGACCAACTGTCCGCCGGATTTCCGCTTTGGACCTGCGCTCAAATTGGACCCATACGCAAATCGACTTGCTCAATCGATGCATGAGTTCAAGATGATGAGAAAGGTTCAACTCTTTCCACTTTGCACCGCCGGGAACACGGATGGCTAATTTTATTGAAAATGCAGCATGCAGACGTCTCAGTGCTGTTTCGGTTGCCGACCACCGACGGGTCTACCTAAAAACCAAGCGGACAACAGAGAAGAGAATCTCTAGATCAGTGGTTCCCAACCGGGGTTCCATGGAACCCTTGGGTTCCATCGACGATTCCGTGGAACCCCAAAGTCTACCCGTGGAACCCCAAAGTCTACCCGTGGAACCCCAAAGTCTACACGTGGAACCCCTATGGAACCGCTGTTGAGCCCCTAGGGGTTCCACGAGAAAAAAAGGTTGGGAACCACTGCTCTAGATCTACGATGACGAATCCTGAGATGAGCCTGCGTCGTCCGACCCCCCCCCCTCCGAGATCCCACTACCCACCTCAGCGGAAATCAAGGCCGAAGTAGCTCGCCAAAGGATCCGAGCGTCCTCGAAGAGGCTCAAGGTTTCGGCTATAATATTCCTGATCTCGATCGGTGCCAGACTCTGGTGCCAATCCCCCTGTGACGAACTACGGATGATGGTTAACGCGCTGATAGGCCTCTCTGCTCTAGATATTTTGCTCGACGGCTGCGCAGTTCACGCTGGATAGAACATTTTCGCACGTGGGCTTCCCGAGTCGAGGAGCGCTTTGATGATGTTGACGAATACTGAAATGAGACCGATCACGGAACTGCAGAATACTGTCCCGAGTTGGACGATAATAAAATCGTTAGAAGTTTTCGGAAATCCTGATTCTATTTTTGAAGCATAAAACAATCGATCAATCAATCAATTTTTTTCGATAGATTATTTGAGCGCTAGCGTCCAAGGCGTATACGAGCATGATGTATCTGATGTACACAATATGACATGAGCCCAGCCGTAGGCTCTGAAGAAAGTAAAGGTTGTCGGTTTATTCTCTTCCAAGAGCTCGATGTCCGAGCGCCTGGAGGGTATCCCGGCACTCAGGCCAATCCTGAATCAGTCATGAATGAAACCCGATATCGAGCCATCGATAGCTGGGATCGCTCGCGTTCTCTCGCCCCATTGAGAATCCGAAAGTTCATGAGCCCATTAATCGATTGATCTCCAGAAAATCAGAGATCAGAGCCCACTGTTTTCGCGATGCTCCGTCCGTTCGATCGGAGCAGATTCTATGTAGCGCGGGGTACATGTCTGAGCGTGTCCCCAGGCACAACGAGGGTAGCGCGCCGACACCGCTGTACAGGCCCGAACAAGTTCTTCGCGGGTCGCACGGTTGAAGCTTCCCTTCCGTTGCTGCTGTCTCCGTACCAACTCAAGGCGAACCTTCACCCTTTCAGAGCTCACGGAGAGAGTAACGCGTATCGGATCGTTGGATGGGCGCCAGGAGGATTGTCCCCCGCGTGAGCGCGCGGCAGTCATATGACTGAATAATCGTGTCCTCTCTTCTCGACTCCGGAGCATGATTTTGAGTTCTCTTAGAAGGCTCCCTCCTTTTGTCAAGAGCTCCCCGACCCCACTGCGACGCCGTACGCTCTACTCAACGTTCCGAAGAGCTCTCTCGCCGTGCCCTCTCTATGGCGCCAAAAGTTGGTCTGAAAAGCTCGTGTAACTTTCCGTGGGCTGACACATGTCCTCTCGCATAGGTTCGCGTGCCGCGACCAGTTGAAGTTTTTGTGAAGAGATCGAATCCAAACTGTCACAAAATGTCCATCTTGGGAGAAAAAAATCTCAACATTGTGAACAAGGAGAACAGCGTCAAAAACAACCGAATCCAGAACAGCAACATCATCGAGAAGGATGGTGAGTGTCCATCAGTCTCTAGCAAGCTCGAGCAAATATTGATCGTTCCGAGGGTGCGCAAAGCTGCGGAACTGCTCTGGAGACAGTCAATAGTTGCAAAAATGTCCGATAACAGTCGGCACTCATGGAATAGCAATCGATCACTCCGGTGACTTTGTCGCCGATGGCTCTAATTGTGTGAAACTCTGGATGTATGGACTCGATCACGAGATTGTATTCTAAGAATGGAAATGTTCCGCGCCGTGTCCCAAGTCCCAAGATGGTATCGATTATTCTCCGAGACTGGGGAGGGAGGCTGCCGCGCTTTTTTTTCGTTCGTTTCTGAGAAAATCAAGAAGGCCCCGGAATCGGGGCCTTTCGAGGGCCCTACATCCGCGATGCATGCGCGGGAAGTTTTGGCGCCAAGCATCACGCTTTCCAATGAACTCGTTGCGAGCACGTGAAGTTCACCTACCTGAAAGAAATCAGCTGATCCGTTTCAGAATCACGATTGAGTCTGCGACGTGATTAGTTCTCGATTGATTAGTGAGGTCAGAGCCGGGAACAGTTGTCTCTCCTAGGTATTCGTATTCCCTCGAGGGCTGGTCGCCGCGATGGAGCGACTGAACGCCCGGAAGATTAACCGGTACCCTTCACAGAGAACAAAGCTCACCGCAATGAGAGCAGCGAGGTCGCAATCAAGAAGAAAACCTACGTTGAGTCGGAACCTCTGCTCCGAGAGAACCCTAATCGATTCGTGCTGTTCCCGATCGAATATCCGGATATCTGGAGAATGTACAAGAAAGCTCAGGCTTCGTTCTGGACAGCCGAGGAAGTTGATCTCGGGAAGGATATGGCAGACTGGCACAAAATGAGCTCTCAGGAACAAGAGTTCATCAAGCACATCTTGGCTTTTTTCGCAGCATCGGATGGAATTGTCAATGAAAATCTCGTCGAGAGGTACGAGTTATTCGAGTCGTTTTTCGTCCGAGTCGCAATCCGAATATACGAGACTGGATACGCGACTAGCATTTGATTGCATTCTCCCCCAATTCCAGGTTTTCACAAGAGGTTCAGGTCACGGAAGCTCGCTGCTTCTACGGCTTCCAAGTCATGATGGAGAACATTCATTCGGAAATGTACTCGTTGCTGCTCAATACCTACATCACGGATCCGATGGAACGTGATCATCTATTCAGGGCCATCGAGACCATGCCATGCATCAAGAAGAAAGCTGATTGGGCCCTGAATTGGATCGGGAATCAGAATGCTACCTACGGAGAACGTGTCGTGGCGTTCGCGGCGGTCGAAGGGATTTTCTTCAGTGGAGCGTTCGCTTCGATATTCTGGCTCAAGAAACGCGGTCTGATGCCCGGATTGACTTTCAGTAACGAGCTAATTTCGAGAGACGAGGGCCTCCATACCGATTTCGCTTGCCTTATGTTCAGACACTTAGTCCAGAAACCGTCCGTAGAGCGGATCTATGAGATCATCCGCAACGCCGTTGCGATCGAGCAGGAGTTCCTCACCGAAGCTTTACCGTGCGCGATGCTCGGTATGAATTGTGATCTCATGAAACAATACATAGAATTTGTCGCCGATCGACTGTTGGTTGAGCTCGAGTGCGACAAGTTGTGGAACAGTCAGAATCCATTTGATTTCATGGAGCAAATCTCGTTGGAGGGGAAGACGAACTTCTTCGAGAAACGCGTCGGCGAGTACCAGAAAGCCGGAGTAATGGCCAACAAAGAAGATCAAATCTTCAAGACGGACTTTGATTTTTGATCTCACTCACACTAGGCAGGCCGCAGAGTTACAGAATCGACCATTCCCGGAGCTGATCCGATCCCAAATTGTTCGATTTCGCTTTTTACGTTCGTTTTTCGTGAGGTTATAAACGAAAAAGTTTGAGCCATAAGGATTGTGTTGTCTCTCTCCGCTAGTCCAATTTTCGGACCAATGCCGTGGCAACTTTTGCCATTCGCTCGGGTTATTCTTGCCGTTTCGTCCCTGAAATTCGAGGCGACTTCTCGCCCCGCATGTTCATTTTCTAGAGCGAAAAAGTCTAAACTCTGGGATTTTTGAAATGTTTTATTAAATATATCGTCATCATCAATAAATAATCAAGTCTAAATTGAGTTTTCAACTCATAGCAAACAATAGAGCCAAATGAAAGCCATATGAAAAGATAGCTCCACAATGGAAACAATGCGCTATATATGAGCAAGAAGTCCCGCAAGAAGCTGCTGTCCGGACCAGGATGCGAAAACTTCAGAGGTGGAGGGAAAATTATTATACTCGTTCCGCATTCGTTCTTTCGTTTGATCGTCCATCTTCAATCACGAATGTTTGATTCGGGGTAATTTTGAGTACGGCTCGACGCAAAGAAAATGTCGAAGTCAGATGGTGTTAGTGATGGTGATCGCATTGCGTTCTACCACAGGTGCCTGACGTTCGCGGCTTCATTTGTTGCTCTTGCTCTATCCCAACAAGTTGTTTCTAACTTCGGAGACAGCCTGGAGATGCTCACTTTTCACACTAACCACCATCTCCAGGGCTCGATGATCCGAACATGATCAGGACTAGGCTTCCTCGCTTCGATTTCAAATGATGACTAGACTCGCTGAAATACTATTAATCGAGTTTCTCTTGTAGATCAGTCAAGGCGTAAATGCTGTTTTTTCGAACTCTCCCACGACTCATTCCCTCGCCGCGTCGAGGCCCAGGTAGAGGCGTAATGTGTGGTCTTTTGCGACTCTGCGCTCGAGAGGGGCGGGCGAAAGCAGTCGATTATCTTCGTCGAGGGATACATCCCACGTCTTCCGCTCCAGGATCCGCATATTTCACCATGGTCTACTGGAGCCTCAACATTACCCTACTTGAGACACAGACTCGCTTGACGGGCCGACCAGGAGTCTGGGCTAGGGGGAACGGCGTGTTTTTCTTCTGCTGGTATTTCACTTTGAACGCGGAGAGAACGAGAAAACCGATTTCATGATCTCTTTCCTTGGCTCGCCCGTCTATGCGTGGAGCGAACAAGCTGCTCGCTAATGATACGTGTCGCATAGGCAGAATCTAGTCCGATCTGGAAATTTTCCTATCGGACTAAATGTGCCAAAGGTCTGAGCGATTGCGAGAGCGAGGCTGAACGGTATGCCCGATCATCAGTTCCGAATGGATACTTCTCACTCAGTCAGTCGATAGCGACGATCAACGAGACAACCTCGTCCCGCAGCCGCATCGAGATCTGCCGTCGACGGAAGTACTCGACTCCATTCCAAGCCGACTGACAACACATCGATGCTGCATCGAGGTCGAAGCAACTCTGATCCGCTCCGAGTGGAAGCAACGGCAGAATCGACGAGGAGGGGATGCATCATCCGTTTTTGGAGCTCTCGCAGAAGCTTTCGCAGTCCCGATGGGACTTTTTATTAATCTGCGAACAACGTCCGATGCATGGATTTTCAGAACACGCCAATAAGCCTCGCAAAGACTCCAGATGATGGGATGATGTCATGGAGATGATCACAATTCAAGTGAGGGGGTCATGACAGCGACGATATTCGGAGACGAATGACCGGTGACGAGAGATGCTTTCATAATCGAAACTTCAGGAGAAATGTGCCTGCTCGCTTGTTGCTCTGGATACAAATTGTAGAAAAAGGTGAACAGGAAACGGGGCGACCATCGAAGCATAAGAGGGAGAGATTATATACAGAGAGGTTTGGTTCATTCCATGGCGTGAGAATGCTAGCTCGAAGAGAATGCTCCACCTGTTCCGGCTACCGATTCGACATTGAACTCCTCCTCTATCTCGGAGATTTTCGGGCTCATTTTTTCACAAAGACAAACGTTTCACAAAATGTGATTGAATAAACTAAGCGTGATCGATACACAATCAGGCGAGCCTTCCACTCGTGGTGTGCAGGCTTCCGCATTTGAAAAACGTTCCACACAAGCCATTCGCACTATGAATTCAGAAGCATCTCCATCGAGCGTTTTTACCTAGAACTTCCCGTGATCGCAGTTGGAAAAAAGAACATTCTGCATCGCTTTCTCCCCGAGCAACGAATTCGGACAGCGTCTCCTAACCGCCGACCGAGTCGGTCACTCACTCATTTCATGCATTCCGGCCAGTACTGAATGTAGTACCGACGGGTGGTGCCATCAAACAACTTGTCCAGCCACGAGGAGAGCCCGTCCAGCAGATGCTCTTCGAATAAAATCGAGCCGTATAGGTCTGTACTACTGGAAGTCGCACCTCCGACACTGCTGCTGCCTCCTCGCGATCTGCCGGCTCCGGCTTTTATCAATCGGCCACTTTCCACGTCTGATTCGACCTCCGAGTCAGAGGATTCAAACCCAAGGAAAGACCCTGGCGGATGATGGAGGTGCTGAGGCAACGCCGAAGCGCCTCGACGCTCTCGATCCCGCTCACGATCCCTCCGGGGTTCTTCCTCGCGGTGCTTGGCGTGATATACACAAAAGTACTTTCGGTGGCCGTTCAGAGATAGTACGGTCCCGATACAGTTTTTAGGATTGATGTTCAGTGGTCGGTGGGAAGACTCCCCAAGCGTCTGGAGCAGCAGTCTACGATACCATTCCAGATTTTTCTCGAGCATCATGAAAGCGAACATGAGGGTTTTGTTTTTCCGGTAGGGAAAGACGGCTTTGAAGAACTGCGGGAGCAGTTTCGGTTTCGATTCTGTGTCGACGAGCAGGACAATCGTCCGGCAGCCCGGTTTCAGCAGTCGGACCAAACCGTTGTAGGTTTCTCCTCGCAGCTCGTGGATGCTCAGCTTGCATTCGGTCCGAGGTTTGTTCGCGCCGGGCACTCCTTTGCCCTGCCTTCGTATTTTCATCTCTTCCAGCTGAACTAGGTACGACATGCAGTAGCCGATGAACACGATGATAACGAATGAAGCGACAACCGATATTACCGGCAACACCTGATACTTAGTTACATTGTCTTTGAGCGCATCTGCCATGAGGGCGAGCCGTTTCAGGATGCGGGTCACCAATGACTGGGCGTTCTCGTCGGTAACCGTCCGCAGGCGTGCTTTACCGCAAGCCAAGCCCTCCGTCGTGTGGAGCAGTCGAGCGAGGACGTTGCTGAGCTCCTCTTTGCTGGCGTTCATCTGAGTCGCGTCGCCGGTCCAAGGCTTCGAAATCCACTGATATTCGACCAGCTGATCGTTACGTCGCCAGATAATGACGAAGTGCTCCGACGGCTCGGTCGGGACGCCGTTCCCGCCTCGCAAACCCTCGATAAATTCGTTCTGTTTGTCTTTCTGCATGTACATGAAAGACACACGCTCCTTCCACTGTGGACTGAGACCTTTGATGTAGAGACGGAGCTGCGTCCGGCGTTCCTCGCTCAAACTGTTCGTGTGAGGAACCGTCACCCAGATGACGCAGAGTCGTCGACGATTGATCTTCTGCGAGGCTTCGTTGGGACAGAGTTGATTGAAGACGGGCTGCGAGCTGACGCGAGGCAGGATGAGGAACTTGTTGGCGTTGATGGCGTCGTGTAACGTTTGAGTAGACAGTTCCGGCATGGAGACCGTTGCGAAAGGAGAGCTCGAGTATTCATTGAAGAGCAACAGCGTCTCTTTCTTCGGCAGCACGTTATACTTGCGACGGATACTCTCGGCTTGCTTGTTCTCGATGCACACGAAGCCGAAGTGAACGTAGTCGCGGAACTTGAACGCGGCCAGCATGTAACGCAGCTTGATCTGCTTCGTCTGAGAGAAAAATATCGCTCGCACCTTGTCGTCGGTTCTCCAAGCAGACAGAAATGTGGGCACCTGGTTCTTCTCTTCCAAGCGCTCGATGATTTTCAACTCGAATGTCTTCCTCACAAAATTGATAACATTGGTCAGGGAGAGGTGCTCTTCACCGAACGGCACCGCGCGTCCCGCAATCACTGCGACGATATATGGCAGAGCGGTGATGCTGAGTTTGCGGCGAATTTCCTCTTCGTGCTCCGCGTGGACCGCTCCGAACTCGATACCTATTGGTTCCAGTTCCTGTAAGATTGAATTCCTCAATTTATTCACCATCTTCCCGAATAGCTCTGGAGAGCTGGTCTCATGACTGGAATCATCATGTTTCACAGAGTCATGGGTGCGAAGAAAACACGGAGCGGTGACGGCTGCCTCAATCAGGAGCGAAGTCACTTCCGCAGAAGAAACGAAGTAGGTACCTGTTGTATTCGATGCCAGAGCGGTGCGGCTTGCAGACATGGTGAACAGTGGTCACTGTAGAACATCAGCAACCAAAGTCGACTGTGCGAGTCTGGGAGAACGCGATTCTCGTAGGACTTTGTGGTGACCGTCATGTTATGATAGATGGCCAGAAGAGGTCTCTCGGCCCCGAACATTGGTTCGAAAGAATCGAAATCGTAGCTGAAAGCGCAACGGAGCCGTCAAATAACATTTCAGACGAAGCGGTCATCCTTCCGAAGCCGCTGTGACTGTTCGCTACTCACCGATGCAGGTATTCCGCCCGCCTCCGGCGGAAATTCGGCGTGTCCTCTGTCCATCCGTGTCTATCGAATTCTCTCCTTCTCTGGGGGTCCATCAACAACTCGTAAGCCTGTTTGATTTCTATGAAACGTCCTTGGGCGGAACTGTCATCCTTCTTCTTATCGGGATGCCTGAAGAAAAATCGACGTACGAAACTTAGCTTCTCCTCGAAGAGGGAGCGCGAGTTCCGAAAATTCCATGATATCGACCCCCTCTGTCGCTCTGAACACAGCAACCTGCGCGGGAATTCATCCCCCGCCCCTGATCGAACAGAGGAAATTATTCCTTGCTCAAAAGAAATCAGGGTTTTTGAGACACCGCTCGGAGGGTCTGCCCCGTGGTGAAGTGCATTAATCGACAGCACTTCGAGGGATTCGACGCATTCTAAATATAAGTTCACGCCAGTGCGAATTCGCTAAATTTAGAGCGGAGCGTTTGTTCTGCTGCGTGCTCCGGCCCTGATATTTCTGTTCGCATCGACTCGAAAACTATCACGAAGTAAGCTCGACACATCGAAAGTGACGCTCCGGAGAGACACCTTATTAAATTGATACTGGAGATTGGAATTCTCCGAAAGAGGAAAATGGGCCATTCGGTTCGAATTCGCTCTCGTGCTCTGTTTGTTGAGCGGCTCTGGTCGCGAGCGCAGATTCTCCCTCGAGGACTGGGCGGTGGAACTACTCTCGAGTCGGAGACCTTAGGGTGCGCGGTATATATTCGCAAGGGAGCCTCCGACAGAGCAGAAGAACCTTATCGGCTAAATCGGGGACCCTATTCCTAGAGCTAGCCGAAAATTCATGAAAGGCACATCTCGGAGGGGAGAATTCACAAAAATCAGGATGCTCCACTCACCATTCTTTCACCAATTCTTTGTATGCCTGCCGAATTTCGTTCGGAGACGCGCTCCGAGCGACATTCAATATCCTGTAGGGGTCTCCCAATAGGCCCGTGGCCCACTGGAAGCATGCAACGATCACGAACAAGCCGGTCACCCTCATATTCCTCCCTCGTTCCAGGAGGAATACTTTGGTTTTGTTCTAGATCTAGTGGTTGGGCGAGAGGCAGTGAATCTGTTAGCTCAGTTCATGTCTTCGCGTTCGCAGCTCACTTCATCACATCACGCAGTCTGACGAAAAACTTGAGACCTGCCACAGTGGAGGACCACCTCGCTGGGGGCGCTGGTCACTCCTGTGGATGAAAATTCCGTAAGAATTCTACGAGTCCATTTTGGCGAGCACGAAGATCGAATATAGAGAAATCTACCAGTGTGCGCACACCGGAGATTCGAAGACCCGGAAACAGAGCTCTCGTGAAGCGCAGAATGTCGATGATACCGATTTACCGCGACCGCGGGTTGACGGAAATCCTCCGTGATACGATCGTGGGCAGCTCGTGAGGAGCGAAACTATTTAGGAATCCAGAAACGACGAAGCTGCGGGGAACTTACGATTTCGGAGAAGCGTCATTTCCGGGTGCAGCTATAGTGTACGAGACGTCTCACGGATGAGTTAGCGTTGGGGGTTCCACCTTCGCGCAGAGAAAACCCGAAACGAAGTCGCTCTTCGAATTAAGAGCGTTCCCGCCATGTGCATGATCGAGGAGGCACTAGGGAGCGATTCCTCTGCCCCAAGCATTTTTCTGCGGTAGCCTTCGCCATCGCAAAGCACATTCCGCTCCCGCAGACGACGCCTAGAGGCGCGAAGTCAAGATACGGCCCCTCGAATGAACGCATTCGCCTGCGTCTCCGGATGGGCGATCACTGTCGCCTTCCGCGATAGGCTTTCGGCTTTCTCTGACGCCGTATGTATATTGTGTAGAGATTCAGGAAATATAAATATATATCTATATGTACATATATAGTCTCTCCAGTTCCCGCGGATGATCCTGATTTTTCGCGGGATTGCTCTGGCCCCTTGGAGGAACTGATGATAGTCCGGAAAACGACCTTTTTCTTCCGAGAACTTCAGCACGGAGCGGAGTTCTCAAAGCTGCGCGGGAACGATCTTTGGGAGTGGAAATCACGCATGGCGAGTATCCGCTCCGCCAGCGTTGAGTCGCCCGCAGCCAGAAGAAAGAGATAGAATGGGTATACTTGTCGGCGAAGTTCCCCCGGCAAATCCGGTGTGCGGGCATTCATCAATTATCCATTAGAGTTAGACATTACGTGAGTCGAGCCGTAGGGATATTCACAGCAGACATTGTTGCTTATTCCGGGAGTCTCAATGAGTGATAATGTCCGAAGAAGGCTCCCAGATCCGAGGACGGTTATGATGAAGTTTTCTTCTTCCCTCCATAGCCGCTCCCGTCGATGCCTCCCCGGGATCTCCAAGGAAATCAGAAACGACTTCGTCGAGTTTCGGAGCGTCGATCAGTCATGACTCATGAGTCATGCCACGACAATCGAGTTTCCCCTGGGCTAGCCAGAAACAGAAAAGTCTCGATTGGGATGGATACGCTAGTCTGAGCGGTACGATACGGATTTCGGAGAAGATACAGTTCCGGGGAGCACTTTCGGAGTCCGTCATGGGACTGCCACAGGCCGTATTCGAATAATATCGGGGGATATCGAGAGCCGCAACGACATTGCCCCCATCAAGGAAGTTGACAGAAGTATTCGAGATTACGATTTTCATGCCGATTGCCGAGTAGCGCAACGTATAGCTGGTGCATGAATGTCTCTCAAATTCGGTCCGGATGGAGAACTGACAAAGCGTGTTTCCGGCAGTATAAGAGTTCCGATACATCGGTGTCAAGGAAGAGGTGGAGATAAGAGCCTCCCGATAGAGGAACGAGTGACCTCAGATCATTGATTTGAGATGAACCCGAAGAATACGGGGCCTGATCTCCGGCATCTCAATCCATTGAGCCCCCCAGCAGCTTCAGCGAGGCTCGGGAGGCGGCATCCTCATCCTAATCCGACCGGCGATGATGCAATGCTGTTGTGAAGATGCAGTGCTGTTCATGTCAATGAAATTGCATGCCTCCACCCTACTCGAATTTGAGCATTGGAGTCTCATCATCATACGAGTATTTATTAACTATAACATGGTGTTTTTAGTCATTGTGCATCGGAGTCTGGTCCTCCGCGTATCGAATTCCATGTGGGAACGCGCTGTTTATCCGGTCGAGCTCGAGCTGATATCCGTCGAGCCGCGTTGGAGTAATCCGGCTCATGATGCCACTGATCGGAGTACTCATGCGATTGCGCGGCTCGTCGAGTGTTTGTTTCGATGAATACTGTGCAGGCCAGACCCGGATACTCTCGAGCCCAGCAATCACTGATGAGTTCCGCGATCCCAACAACCACGCAGCTAGTATGACTTGGACAGCGAAATATTAGACCTCATTCATCACTCTCTTCAGCGGTTCCGGGGAACTTCCGGAGACACCCCGCCAATGATTACTTATTTCAGGCGTCGGGGAGCTTCGGCATTTTTTTTCAGAGGCTCTCTGTATTGTACACGAGGAGAACGTGACGGCCGGCCCTGAGTCGGTCAGGAGCTCGCACGCCCCCTTATAACATGCCTTCCCGATACCGGGAGAATAGATTCAATGAGCCCGATCGGATAATTTGAATCGGTCTGACGGGAATACGCTTCTCCATTGAAAAGCGAATGGAGCTCTCTTCCTCATTGACATAAATTGGTCCTTAGAACGGACCAGTTTTCTTCAAATGAGCTGATTCAGATTCTCTTCTGTGCAGCAATATTTTTTATCGGAGTCCTTGTTCCACTGGTCAGGCATGACCCTCGAATCTATTGTACGAAAAGCTACGGAAGTCCCCTGCAGAATCGGCGTGAGCGGTGGGGCACTCGCCCGCTCTTGGGAAACACTGATTCTAGAGAAGGAACCACATATACATATATCAGTGACGCTTCTCCGCTCGAGCAGCGGCTTGCCACGAAGTTGAGTTACGGAGACATCGGGTGCTTGCAAGAGGAGGCAACGGATTCGGGCCCGGAGAACAGATAGAGAATCTCCGGAAGTCCGTTTCTGAGGGCAAGCAAGTACTGGAGGAGGAAGAAACGGTCAAAGGAAGAAACGGTCGAAGGAACCGCAGGAATAGGGAGGTGACTCCCGCCCGGAGAAAGCCTCGCTGGTCGTGATTCGTGACACTCGTGATCATCCTCCAATAATCTTTCGGTGAGGCCTCGGAATAAGCTTCAGGATTAAGTCGAATTCGAAATCGAAATCAGAGGAAAATGGTGATCGATGTGCACGTGGGGTCCTCGGCAACGGGGCTGCCTTGATCCCTGGCGGCGGATCATCCACCCCTCCTAAGTGATGCCGCTTCCTTGTATTTACTATGAGGGTTCGACCCATGAGTCTCGACTCCAATCTTGGACGCCGTTCTAGGACTCCTGTTCTGATGGGATGCCCCGAGAGGGTAAGAGTGGGAACGCCCTCCTCTGGCTAGAGCTTTTAAGAACGTTCGTTCGGACACCATATCTCCACGGCGGGCTTTAGACATGCTCTCCGCAGCTTCGTCTACCCCGCTTCTTCGGTCTCTGGCAGACGCTCTGTCTTCGAAGTCGGTCTCACAGGCAAGTAGGATTCTTTTCGTGTTCGGGAACAAGACATGTTATCGCGTCTACCTCTTGGCTTTGCGCGTGAGCTCGGAATGACATCGAACTCTTTGGTTCCAGGAATTGTAGAGACTTTCCAGACTGTGATCATCACCGTGTGCGTTGTGCCTCCTATTAGTCCGCCTCCAATATGAGTCTGACAGAATACTTCAATTATGTTTGGTCCCTCCGCGACCCAAGAACTGAGGGATGGGGCTGGTCCGCGAACTATAAGTTCATATTCCCGCTTATCGGCCTCTACCTGTACGTGGTGAAGATCCAGGGACCGAAATTCATGAAGAGTCGCCCGGCTTATCAATTGAAGCCATACATTCTTACGTACAATGCTTTCATGGTCATAACCAACGCGTACTTCTTCTGGAACTACTGGAAGAGATCCTATGGAGGAGGATATTACAGTTGGTTCTGTCAGGTGAGCGACCTTCCCTCGCAATTCCTAATCCTCTCATAGTTGTCCGGCGGTAGCTGATTGTCAGAGAGTGGGAATCTGAACGATGCATGCTTACAAGGTAGATGCGATGAGTTAAACAAGTTATTGGAACTTTCAGGGGGTGTCCTACTCGAGAGACAAGAATTCGATGGAGATCTTGGAGCTGACATGGTGGTACGTCTTGGTTCGGATAGCTGACTTCATCGACACGATCTTCTTCCTCCTACGAAAGAAGTACGAACACATCTCCATGCTCCATGTGGTTCATCACACGCTCGTCGTGTTGTCGGGCTGGCTTTGGCTGAACTTCGGCACTGACGGCCAAATTCTGCTGGGAATCTGCATAAACGCGTTCATCCACATCATCATGTATACATACTATGGGCTCGCAGCCCTCGGACCGTGGACACAGAAGTACCTGTGGTGGAAGAGGTATCTCACGAAACTACAGATAATCCAATTCTTGATTTTGAACACTCATATTTCGATCCCACTGTTTTACAACTGCGGATATCCGCGCGCACTCACTCTCCTGGCCGCCGGTCAGGGTGTCGTGGGCCTGATTCTATTCGTGAACTTTTACATAAAGAGATATTGTGTGTTACGGAGCCCCGCGGGTGCCGGCCAAACGGTAAAACCTTCCGATACATGTCGAAAGCCAGCGGGCGGAATCCAGAAAGAGACTGAGCCATCGCCGCTTCGGATGCTAGAGAAGGCTCGAAAAGAATGCTGTCGGCAGAGGTCCGTCCGCGTACCACCCTTCATCTGTTCTCAAATAGAACGAGGAAGCCGGACCGAATGAGAGATGACGGGTCTATGCGCGACCGGCGAGAAGTATCTTGAATAAAGTATCGTTGGCGGACAAACTCGAGTTCTTCGAATATGAACAAAATATAACTACGGCCAGACCCAGGCGAGTGCTACTCCGGTGGTGTTATGCGTAATGTTTTTCGAACAATCACTAACTTGAGCGAAATTCAATATGCGGTGGAAAATTATAGAAGACAATCCGCCTGTTTCGACCAGGCTCTCTTCTACTCAGTGAATCGTCAACGGCTGCCTCTCTGACCCTCAATGCTTTCGAACCTCATTGAGGATCTCCGTAGCGGGGACTCTCTCGCTCGTCTATTTAGAGAGTCCGCTCTCCCCGAACCCGGAGGGAGCCTTCCGTCAAAGACCGAAGAACACAGGGATCTTAATGAGCGCCAAACATGAAGCACCTTTCCTCTCCCGCCGGGCCTGAGATATAGAACAGAAGTTAAGGAAAAGACAGCTGAAGATTTGAAGGCGAGGGAATATTTCCCCCAATGTATCGGGGATGTTCATGGGGCAGTGTAGCCGGTGGAGACGCTGAGTTAGTTTAGAAGACGGATTTCAAGGGACCGGCGACATTGTACATACGTTGTTATTACTATGCCTGGCAGAGAAAATACGCCTGGCGAATATCCGTGTCTGCGGCATTGACTCGCTCGCGGTCAGCGGAAGGAGATAGCCTCGTCCGATCGGGACAATTAGCTGGGACAATGGATTGGATTATTATTTATGGGCTCCTGCCCGGGAATGCAACGAATTTCCCACCAGAATGCGGGAATTCGTCATCCATTGGACACAGCTGGAGTCACGCCGCGCCGGAGGAAAATTCGAAGGCTCGAATCGGAGGGAATTCCATCAAGTGTCAATAACCGAGAAACGTCTCCCGATCCAGAAACGGCTATGATGGAGTATTCTCGAGTCGCAGAGTTCCGTCCCGAATATTCTCCTCAGAGCCGCTCTCGACAATATCCGCGTGGTATTTCTAGGTCTGTTCAGTCAGAACCGGCTTCGTCGAGTTCCGAGACGTCGATCCGTCATGAGCCATGACATGGGGATCGAGAACAGATTCCGAACAAGACACAGCCTCGGGAAGCACGTTTCGAGTCGGGAATACAACTGGGATAATCTCTGTCATAGGTCATCCTCGAATACCGGGAGATACCATAAGGGGCCTCGACGGAGACCCGATGCTCTAATCGGGGAACTCGATAGACGGAACTCGAGAGAGGGATTTGCATGCCGGTTTAAAATGAAATGGAAAAAAAAGAAAGCGGAATTTACACGATGACTGTTGTTGGAGTGCTTCGCGGAATAGTTTCTGTGGAGGGACTAAGAGAGCGTCCCTCCAGAATTCGAGATGAATCGCAATCAAGGGAGGGGTAGACGTCAGAACACCCCGATAGAGCTATCTGAGGTGGACCCGGAGGGATACAGGGCCCGGTATGCGGCGTCCTGATCCATGGTGCTTCCCACTGGCTGGGCTCGGGCGATAGCACGTTCCCTCTCAATTGATCGGCAATGAGGCGATGAGTGAAGATGCGATGATGTTTGTCGTATTGGGATTGTATGCTCGTGCCCTACAAAGCTCCGGATATTCAGGTCCAATCCTTAGCGTATCGAATCCTAAGCGGAGGAGAGCTGTTTTTCCGGCCGAAATCGAGCTGATATCCGTCGAGCCGCGTTGGAGTAATCCGGCTCATGATGCCACTGATCGGAGTACTCATGCGATGGCGCGGCTCGTCGAGTGTTTGTTTTGATGAATACTGTGCAGGCCAGACCCGGATACTCTCGACTCTCGAGCCCAGCAATCACTGATGAGTTCCGCAATCCAAACAACCACGCAGCTTGGATGACTTAGACAGCGAAGTATTGGACCTCATTCATCACTCTCTTCAGCGGTTTCGGGGAACTTCCGGAGACACCCCGCCAATGATTGCTTATTTCAGGCGTCGGGGAGCTTCGGCTTTCATTTCAGAAGTTCTCTGTATTGTACACACGGAGAACGTGGCCGCCAGCGCTGAGTCGGTCAGGAGCTCGCACGAATCCTCATCAGGGTTTCCCGATAATAGGAAAATGGATTCGATGACGAGTGAAGGAGATCAGTGGCGTGGCGTGGAAATATGCTACCCGAGGCGGATTCCTCGAGTTCCGAGTCCCGAGCCGGAACCCTATTTCGACTCGGCTTTCTTTTCCGAACATTTTCCGGATCTTCAATTCGACGTGGAAGTCAAGATTAGCCTCATTCTAAAGAAGTGAACTTGAAGAAAATTCGGCTTTCTGGCACTCTGATTGGGCAACCTCGATCATCGGAGTGGACTGCCCCGCCGCCCCCTCCCTGTCCGCTCGCTTCGCCTTTGCCGAAGATAGGAGGAGGCATCAGAGGAAACATGGACCTGGGGATGTAGCTAACGATTTAGGCTCGGAGAAAGCGTCGTGAGTCGTCACATCACGAAGCCGAGCGACCATCTCTCTATGAATAATAATCTTCCGGTTATAAGCTCGGAAGGGCTATAGAGCATATTTTTCCTCTTCGATGGTCGATGTACACGTGGGGTCATCGGCGCTGTCATCGAGATTCAGTTCTCTTCGTAACGAACGGCGTTGCCTTGAGCCCTGACGGCGAATCATCCACCCCTCCTAAGTGACGCCGCTTCCTTGTATTTACTCTGAGGGTTCGACCCCAGAGTCTCGACACCAACCTTGGACGCCGCTCTACGACTCCTGCTCTGATGGGATGCCCCGAGAGGGCAAGAGTGAGAACACCCTCCTCTGGCCAGAGTTTTTAAGAACTCTCGTAGAGACACCGGATCTCCACGCGAGCTTCAGGCGTGCTCTTCGCTGCTCCGTCTGTCCCAACTCTTCGGTCTCTGGCAGATGGTTCGACTTTGAAGTCGGTTTCACAGGCGAGTATTCACGTGTTCGGGGACAAGGAATGAATTTACTAACTTTAATCTCTTCCCGTTCGCTTTGAGCGTGGGCTCGCAATGAATTTGAAGAAGGAGCAGGAGTGACACCGAAATCTTGGATTGCAGGAGGTGCTGAAACTTTCCAGACTGTGATCACCATTGTGCCTATTAGCCTGCCTCAAATATGAGTCTGACTGAATACTTCAATTATGTTTGGTCTCTTCGTGACCCAAGGACAGAGGGATGGGGCTGGTCCGCGGACCATAAGTTTGTGTTCCCGCTTATCGGCCTCTACCTATACGTGGTGAAGATCCAGGGACCGAAATCCATGAAAAGCCGCCCGGCTTATCAACTGAAGCCATACATACTTACGTATAATGCTTTCATGGTCTTGACTAACGCGTACTTCTTCTGGAACTACTGGAAGAGATCCTACGGAGGAGGATATTACAGTTGGTTCTGTCAGGTGAGCGACCTTCTCTAGCCATAACTAAACCTCCGCCTCTCGTCCAGCGGGAAATAATTGACAGAGAATGGAAATCTGAACAATGCATGCCTACAAGGTAGATCCGATGAGTTGAACAAGTTATTGGAATTTTCAGGGAGTGTCCTACTCGAGCGACAAGAACTCGATGGAGATCTTGGAGCTGACATGGTGGTACGTGTTGGTTCGGATGGCCGACTTCATCGACACGATCTTCTTCCTCCTACGAAAGAAGTACGAACACATCTCCATGCTCCATGTGGTTCATCACACGCTTGTCGTGTTATCGGGCTGGCTTTGGCTGAACTTCGGCACCGACGGCCAAATTCTGCTGGGAATCTGCATGAACGCGTTCATCCACATCATCATGTATACATACTATGGGCTCGCAGCCCTCGGACCGTGGACTCAGAAGTACCTGTGGTGGAAGAGGTATCTCACGAAACTACAGATAATCCAATTCTTCATTCTGAATACCCATATGTCGATCCCCTTGTTCTACAACTGCGGATATCCGCGCGCACTCACTCTCTTGGCCGCCGGACAGGGTTTTGTGGGCCTGATTCTATTCGTGAACTTTTACATCAAGAGATACTGTGAGATACGGAGCCCCGCTCCATAAGTTCCTCTTACAATAAATGATTGCCGATGGTCGTCGATGGTTTTTCCTCTTATTTTCCCCCGGAATCACATGTCGGCGGGCGTGTCCGGTGGGATCGGTTCAGCCTCGAAGGAATTCAACTTTCCGGAGAGAAGCTCCCCAGCATGGGTTCACCGGACGCAAGACTCATTGTCGGCTTGAAGGAGGAGCGACCGCGTTGGACTCGTTCCATAGGTGACTTCCCTGTTGACCGAATTCATATGACCGAAGCCACTTGACCGAATCCATACGACCGAGGCCTTTTGACCGAAGCCACATGGCCGAATCTACTTGACCGAAGCCACATGGCCGAATCCACTTGACCGAAGCCGTTTGACCGAATAGGAGTACTCCCACTTCACTGAGAGCGCGACGGTTCCGCTATTTCGCTATCCAAATTTTTTCGGGCTCTGTGCATGAACTAATTTTCCGAGACCGATTCTCGCATTTTGTGAGGCACTTAGAGTTCTGCAACGAAGGTACACGAGTGTTCCCGATGCGTGCTTGGTACAAAAATAATTACGGGAATAACTTAGACGTAATCATGGAGGAAAGCTGCCCACACTCGCACTCAGTCAAGGCTTTCTCGACCACCTCAGCGTCACTCGAATATTCCTTAAACTACGACACTATAGCTGTGAGCCCGTCGGCTCCGCATATCCAACCACATTTCGCTCCTCTCTACGAACGAATGCTTCCGATCGGAGCCTTACAAAGATTCTGACTCCGCGAGGCCACGAGGCGTTGGCTCAGTTACGTTCAGCTGGATCTCAGATGGAACTCTCATCCGGGTTCCAATACGGTGTGAGCTCGATCAAATCACGCTCGCCTAGATCAGTCTCGAGTTTTCGAACTCGATTACCTATGTTACTCCCGCGTGACGCGAGCTGAGCGAACACATAAATTCGGTCAAACGGCTTCGGTCAAGTGGCTTCGATCAAGTGGCTTCGGTCAAGTGGCTTCGGTCAAGTGGTTTCGGTCAAATGGCTTCGGTCATATGAATTCGGTCAAATGAACGGTACTGATCTATCCGGGCGCGTAGCAGGACCACACGAGGTATCCGATTGTTGCCGAACCGCGACTGGACCAATCAATCACTTTTCTCTGTACAGTATTCGACTTTCATAGGAACTAATCCGAATCCCAATTCGAACATCTAACATGATCGTATCGGGGATTCGTGGAAATTCAGAATTCCGCCTCCTGTTCTATCGATTCTAGCGAGGACGAATCAGAGCCCCTGCTTCCGCTCGCTTGTGTCTTCTAATCAGTGTCCCGCTTCTTCAACAGGATGAATCCTGTTTTCTGACTAATGGGTGTCCGACTGCTCGGTGCTTACGCATCGGCCGCCGCCCTCATCGTCGATCCGTAGCGACGCGTCTCCCGATGCTCAAAAAAGCCGCGGCAGGAACTTCTTCGTCGTCGTCGTCAACACAGAATGTAGAGGGTTCGAATTTCGCAGACGATTTTTCCCGCAGCTTGGAGCAGACGAGCACGCGAGCTAGCCTGCGTTGTTATTGCTTGTGCACACAGCAGCTTCCCAGAGGAGACTGCAGTGGATGCTTGCTCTGCTGCTGGATATTAATCGCATAGGGGATGTCTTCTCTGAGCTCAGAATCTCCCAATGGTGAGTTCACACAGATAGTGAAGTCTACGGGACAGCGAATCGCCAAAAGCTCGGCTCCAAACCGACATTCTGCCTGCTATGGAACGCCATGCGATTCGCAGTCCTCAGTCCGAAGCAAATTCTCGGCAAGCAACGCGAGGATTGACCTGCATCGGCGATAGCTAACGTTCGAAAAAGTCCGCACAGCCGCGTCCCGGATGGCGTACGAACTTAGACCTACAATCCTATTACAGCCCAGCTGACTAACGGCCATAAACGCAGCCGATCGGAGATGGCGTCTTCCGTTGCCGCTTTCCAGAGTGAGTAGGGACGTTCTGGGATGCATAATTGAACTGATCGGGTAGTTGGCCCGAGAATTCGCGCGTGGTGGCGGCGAACATCGACGTGATCGATGGGGAGAAAAGTCCCGCAATTTCCACCCGACGAAGGCGAAGCATTCGACCCTGACCTTGGGACGGGCTTCCCAGTCCAGCTGGCTGCTCAATGCCTTGCCGTGATTACGTAGAAACATCAATGTGGATGAATCGAGCGCATGTTTGGAGGAGGCTCTCTCCATTGTCCCTCTCGATCACAGTCGATTTGGGATATTCCGTATCTCACACTCTTCTGTTATTTTCCAGCATTAGCCGAACTCGCTCACAGAGAATACACATCAGGCGACTACGAAAATGCTGAAAGACATTGCATGCAACTGTGGAGACAAGATCCCACCAACACGGGGGTCCTCCTTCTTCTCAGCAGCATACATTTCCAGTGCAGGAGGCTTGATAAGTGAGTGTCGGCGAAGCTCGAACAGCTTCCAATTATTATTCATTGGAGAACTGACGGATATTCCGAGCTCGAACCCGAACGGCGGAGCCTAAGGTCCCATGCCGTTTCCCGGCCGGAACACTCCATCTCGATTCTGTTCGGATAAGAGCCGGATCGAGCGAACCGTGCGCCGAGTGAGCATTCCTCTCGAACCCGTGATAATAGCGCATGCTCTCGTTCGCAGATCTGCTCAGTTCAGCACATTGGCTATCAAACAGAACCCTCTACTAGCTGAAGCGTATTCGAACCTCGGGAACGTTCTGAAAGAGCGTGGCCATCTGCAAGAAGCTTTGGATAACTATCGTCAAGCCGTACGATTGAAACCCGACTTCATCGACGGCTACATAAACCTGGCGGCCGCTCTAGTCGCGGCAGGAGACATGGAACAGGCCGTTCAAGCGTATATCAGTGCCTTGCAGTACAATCCGGTAAGTTGGGCATTCCTTTCCGCGGATTCCTGATCCTTCCGCGGATATACCTGCTGAGGATTTCCTGCGATCCTAAAGCTCCTCATGGTTCCTCATCGGTTGACTCGGATATTTCTTTCTTTCAAGGACCTTTATTGTGTTCGATCGGATCTCGGGAACCTTCTCAAAGCGTTAAGTAGACTTGACGAGGCGAAGGTGAGTTGAGCTTGTGGATGTCACCTCCATCCTCAAATGGGCGAACACGGTCTCAAGGACTTTCCATCCCGTACGAATTTCCCATCGATCGAATTTCAGAATCTAGATGTCGAGGTTCCCACGGGAACGCTCGATTGGGTTTTTCGATCTCTCTTGTCTCACGAAAATCTCGCGAAGAACCTTGGGGAGCTCGCGCAGCGTGCATGATAAACCACGAATCAAACGAGTTCGACGACGGACCGGATGGGAATTTCGCGCAGAGTTCGGCAGTAGCTCATCTCGAAATATCTCGCAGTGTACGATTGAATTCCGAGACTGGTCCCTCGTCGATCGTCGTCGCGGCTCAGAATTCGTGCAGCGGCTTTGAAAATTGGCGGCAAATATTCGCGATTAGGCGCGGCGATGCGGAGGCGGCAAGCGAGCGGGCGACGAAGCAGGCGGGCGAAGCGGCAAGCTCCATGACAGAGCACGAGCCCGTCAACTTTTCCGAGAATCTCACGGAAGTGAGCGGTAGCGGACGCGGCGGCGGCAGCAGTGGCGGCGAATTTCGAGGCTCTGACGGAGAGCGGGTATTTCCGGCTCTTAGGAACCGTCGAAACGAGGACGTTGAATCATGCGTTCGATGTCTGAGCTTAGCGTAGCGGCGAGTTGGAAAGAGCTCCTCCAGGTTTTAGGCAGTTTGTGGAAATCGTGTTCGCTCATCGAGGTGGGGTACATGCAATCGTGCGTTGCTTTGTGATCAGGTTTCAGTGAATCGTCTGGAACCGCGACCGGGAGTGACACGCTCAGACAAACTATACCGAGGAACATGAGACTCGGCGAGGGAAGGAGAAGTGTCAAGAATTACTCAGGGGGAGAGCGACGTCCATGAAATGTCATAAGACGAGACTCTGGGCTTGACCCGCTTCGACGCTACGTACTTTTCCGATCTGGATTCCCTAGATCTTGGCTGGTGTCCTGCTTCTGACATTTCAAGGAGGCCTCTGGAAACTCGAGGAATTCGACCATGAAATCCCGAAACCTAATTACATTGTCGAGTCAGACCTCTATGGCAAATGTACACGGAATGACTCCGATGAGACCTCTCGCATTCTAGCACCAACAGAATTTAATAATTGAATTTCCTCGCCATGATCCCAATCGACCTTCCTCTCGTCGCGGGAGAATTTTTACCGATATACACGGTGTGCTTCGCTGCAGTGGTCTCTTCGAAGTTGTTTAGCATCCGTAAGAACTCTATTTAGGTGATTATCTGGAAAGACATTAGGTGGTTACTCCATTACAACAGCCCGATCCGCTCGTCGCAAATCGAGCCCGCCGCTGTGCGTTATGGCCGAGGTGATCTTTAGCAGAGACGCTTCGGTGGTACGACGTCATTCAGTGCTGACAACGTATTCAGAGAGCTCCGGGACGAGCAGAGATGCCGACCAACGGTTTGACTATCAGATGACTCCCTGAAATGATCTACGACAGTGCAAAAGGCAAGCGAAAACTAGATAGTCGTGGCGGATTCTACCTCTTCTCTTTGTTGGTTTTCGGATAAGCGGGTGATTGTTGCCAATTGTATCTTGAGAAATTCAAAGTTCATCTGCGAAACCTCTTAGCTCAATGATTTAGAGTGAAGCAATCGAAACATGCTTTGCGTTACTTTTATCGTATTTAAGTTGTATATACATCAAAATACTGAAAACAGATCACACATCGCGGTTTTCACTCAAGCGCTGTAACATGGAGAGCTGCCGGCCGACTCAGGAGTTCTTTTGACGACAGCTGATTGTTTGATAGGACCTCCTTGAATCCTTCCCCGTCGTCCACAGAATTCCGAGACCCGCGCGAATCTCCTCGCAAACAAGACCGACACGGAGGAGAACGAGAGTTTGCACGGATCTTGAGATAAATCGCCATTTCACTTCGGAGCGAACGAAGCTGAAACGACGACGCAGATCCATGGAAGGCCTGTTACGGCAAGCGGTGTTAGGTATCTCTGGAGTGAGTGGACGGAGTTGAGAAAGTCAGCGGGCGGGCTCATTCCACGGGGTTATCCTGGAATCCGAACCCTCGTTGACTCTCTCACTCGGAGCGACCGTTTGTACGATCACAGACAGATAGAAAATGACTTGGCAACACAATCACTAGATATTGGCTGGCTGGCTTTGACTCGAGAAAGCTAGTCAGAAACGTCGTCTCTCGATCGAGAGAAAACTAATTCAGGTGAGGCGCCGCGAACCGCGCTGCGAACGTTCCCCCCTCCGCGCAGCGCATACGCAACTCGTTCATTCGCGCTGAAATGAACGAGCGTCCCAAAGAGTTGAGCAGTGACCGTTGGCCACGCGCTCTGACTCGGAGATACGGCATTGGGTCCTGCTCCTCACGCCGGGGACACCGATGAGAACCCCTTTGACAGCGCTGCGAAACTTATTCAGGTGCCTGATGCTCGCGCCGCGTTCCATTCTCTGAGCGTTGTCTAATGAATTCATTTCAATCCAGGCGTGCTATCTCAAAGCCATAGAGACGTGTCCGACTTTCGCCGTTGCTTGGAGCAACCTGGGCTGTGTGTTCAACAGCCAAGGCGAAGTCTGGCTTGCGATACATCACTTTGAGAAGGTATGTACCCCGACCCGGGCGACGTAGCCGCTTGCGGCCTGATCATTATTCGATTAAGGTATAATTCCGACGGACACGTCGGACATCAACTGGAATTTTCGTCTGCAGGCGGTGGCGCTCGACCCGCATTTCCTTGATGCGTACATCAATCTTGGCAACGTGCTGAAAGAGGCTAGGATCTTCGACCGAGCCGTGGCGGCCTATCTCCGGGCGCTATCGTTGTCGCCGAACAACGCGGTGGTACACGGAAACCTCGCTTGTGTCTACTACGAACAGGGGTGAGTGACTTTCGAGGTGGACAAAACGAGGAATTCTTAGCCGACCGGGCAGAGCTCTGACAATCTCTCGTTTTCTCTCATTCAGACTAATCGACATGGCCATAGAGACCTACAAGAGGGCTATCGAGCTGCAGCCGAATTTCCCGGATGCTTATTGTAACTTGGCGAACGCCCTGAAAGAAAAAGGCCACGTTCAGGAATCGGAAAAATGCTACAACACTGCTCTTCGACTGATGCCGAGTCACGCAGACTCGCTCAACAATCTCGCGAATATCAAACGGGAACAGGGCCAAATCGAAGACGCAACGAAGCTCTACGCGAAAGCCCTGGACGTCTATCCGGAATTCGCCGCCGCACACAGCAACCTCGCGTCGGTGCTACAGCAGCAGGGAAAACTCAACGAGGCCCTAATGCACTACCGGGAAGCTATCCGTATATCGCCGACGTTCGCTGACGCCTACTCGAACATGGGCAATACCCTGAAAGAGCTGGGCGATATCCAGGGGGCGATGCAGTGCTACTCGAGGGCGATCACCATCAACCCCGCCTTCGCCGATGCCCATTCGAATTTGGCCTCGATCCACAAGGACTCGGGCAACATCCCCGAAGCGATCCAGAGCTACCGCACCGCACTCCGATTGAAACCCGAGTTTCCGGACGCGTACTGCAATTTGGCGCATTGCCTTCAGATCATCTGCGACTGGTCAGGTTACGGCGAACGGATGAAAAAGCTGGTCGCCATCGTGGCGGATCAACTCGAGAAAGGCAGATTGCCCTCAGTGCATCCTCATCACTCGATGCTGTACCCGTTGACTCACGAGCAGAGGAAAGGAATAGCTGCGAGACATGCGAACCTCTGCTACGAAAAGGTTCGCGTTTTGAAGCCTCTCTGTTCTCGAGGATCTACATTGTATAATGTATTCGATCTAAACGCTTCCACGCGTCGGAAACCCGCTCACGCTCAAATTTCGTTTTCCTCCGCAGATACAGATGCTCCACAAGGAGCCGTACAATCATCCTCTAAAGTTGAAAGCTCGTGAGAGGCTCCGCGTGGGATACGTCAGTTCCGACTTCGGGAACCACCCTACCTCGCATCTCATGCAAAGTATTCCGGGGATGCACGACAAATCCCGGATCGAGCTTTTCTGCTACGCGCTTTCGGCGGACGACGGCACGTCTTTCCGTTCGAAAATCGCCAAAGGCTCCGAGCACTTCGTGGACTTCAGCAGCATGAATTGTGTGGGCGCGATGGCCGAGAGAATATACAACGACGGCATACACATTCTTGTCAACATGAACGGATACACGAAGGGCGCACGAAACGAGATTTTCGCCCTGAAGCCCGCGCCCCTCCAGGTGATGTGGCTCGGCTACCCCGGGACGTCGGGCGCGGATTACATGGATTATATTATCACGGACGAAGTGACGTCGCCTCTCTGCGTAGCCGACCACTACACCGAGAAATTGGCCTACATGAAAGATACGTTTTTCGTCGGCGACCACAAGCAGATGTTCCCGCATCTGATCGAGCGGGTAATCATCAATAATCCCGAGGTGAAAGACAACGTGAGCGTGGTGAACGCCACGGACCTGACACCGATCATCGAGAAGGTCGACGTCAAGAAAATCACCGAGGTCGCCGTCGTATCGACCGTGACGACAGCCTCCACCATGCCGACGTCGACTGTTGTCGAAGTTGTGAAAACGGTGATCGATCTGCCTCCGACCACGTCAGCGAGTCTGAGACAGGTCCTCGCTGGAACCGAAGAAGCCGCCGACGTGGACGGTGTTGTTCTACAGAGCGGGGCGGCTGCGACAGCCAACCCGAGAGAAGCGACGGGAGAAGAGGCTCCGAGCAGCATTTTGGTGACCACGCGACAGCAGTACGAGCTGCCCGAGGATGCGATCGTCTACTGCAATTTCAATCAGCTCTACAAAATCGATCCCGACACCCTGCAGATGTGGATCAACATTCTCAAAGCAGTGCCAAACTCCGTGCTATGGCTGCTTCGTTTCCCCGCTGTGGGCGAACAGCAGATCCTGGCGCAGGTCATCGCGGCCGGTCTGGAGAAGAATCGAGTTATCTTCTCCAATGTTGCCGCCAAAGAAGAACACGTTCGCAGAGGTCAACTCGCCGACGTGTGTCTCGATACTCCTCTATGCAACGGCCACACGACCGGTATGGACGTTCTGTGGGCCGGAACCCCGATGGTGACCCTACCCCTCGAGTCGCTCGCGTCCCGAGTGGCCTCCTCACAGCTGACGTGTCTGGGCTGTCCGGAACTCATAGCGAAAGATCGCAAGGATTATGAAAACATCGCTATTCGGCTCGGGACCGACCAACAGTATCTCAAACTCATCCGAGCAAAAGTTTGGCAGCAGAAGAACGAGTCGCCCTTGTTCGATGTGAAAAACTACACAAGGAATTTGGAAGACCTCTTCGAGAAGATTTGGCGTCGCTACGAATCCGGTGCCCCCGTCGATCACATCGTTGATTAAAATTTTCGGCGATGACAAACTACCTAGCTCATCTCTGACTGAGAGGGTTCATCCCTACTTGACCAATGACGCACGCTTGATAATCCGCGTGTGGCCCGCTCTCTCGGTAGGCTTTGACAGCAGATTCGTCGCGAGAAGACCTTCCTTGACTTTTTTCTCCTTTCTTTCCGAAATTCATTAAGGGAAGCGCTTTGAGAGGACGGTTGGAGAGATGATTGTATTATTACACGTGGTTATCAGAAGGATGCGAATTGCTCCCGGACCAGGCTTGCCATCCAGAACCGGGGGATTTCGATCCGTGGACAGCTATCGTTTTCTTGGTTCATCTAAACGTAGTTCCGACTTATGACTTTATGATTGTTGTCGCGGTGAGTCGACTAGCGGCTCATCATCACTGGGGAATGAAATCATGCTACAAGAGAAACACGGACGCGAGTCTTTGACTTTTTCTTTGTACTCATAAATTCAATAAAACTTGTAAATATTTAAGTCCGCCACAGAGCTTTGCGTTTGGAGATCGTCGATATGTCAATGCGATCTCATCAAGATGAGAAGACAGTGCCGGAGAGAATCCGAACTCTAACAGCAAGCTCTGATGTGCGCGAACGTTGCAGAGCCCGGGTGGGAAGAATGGTGCCTGCATTGAGAGTAAGCGCAGATCACTTCATCATTGGTAAACAGCTGGCTGTCTCCGTTCCTTCGATTTCGTGTTGACAATCCGGCAGCTCAGTAAAATATTTCAGGAAGCATACAGTGGACTGATCAATGATCTGACAGGAGTAGCTCGTTAGACTGACCAAGACCTAGGGAGGGGACGCGTGCTCGAGGTGAGTCAGAAGAAAGACCCGACCTCTGTGGAGACTTCCAATGTGTCAGCATCCCATTCGAACAGGGAAGAGTTCCGCTCGGGAAGTCTCTCTGATCTTTCACGCTGCAGGTGCCTCGTGTCGGAGAGAATCTTGACGGAGCCGGCCACCCTCTCCGAAAGCCACACGGTCGAATCTTACTCGGGTGATGCCCGAGGCGTCCGAGACTCCCCTGGGAGGCGCGGAGCATTAGAGGTGGAACCGAATTCTGTCTGCTGCAGACCTCCTACTTGCTATCCTCGTCTTCGAACGAACGCCGGAGTCCGAGGCATATCATTGATAGAATTTCGGTTCCTTATCTGCTCTCGAGAAACCCCTCCGGCTCTCCTGAGCACTTCAGTGATGAATGATGAAGCTCCCCGAAATTCGGAGGCGGCTCGCTCTCCTTTCGTCGATATCGCTCGAATCGCTATCCTACTTTCTTCGGAGTCTGGTCGGAAGTTCTCTTCATATTTGGGTTTAATTGCAGCTATCAGCAAAATGGCCACGAACGACGATGATGCTCCGACGGGTGATTTCGATCCGTACAACATCAACAGCACGGACTTCAATCCTGACCTGTATCTACAGCGGGTTTTCAAAGAGTATCGGCTCACCGAAATCATGGACCGAGAACAACAAATTCACAGAGAGGTTCAGCTGCTCGACTCGGAGATGCAGCGTCTGGTCTACGATAATTACAACAAATTCATATCTGCAACGGATACCATCAAGAAAATGAAAACCGATTTCCAGACCATGGAGCAAGAGATGGAGTCACTGGTCGAAAACATGTCGAAAATCTCCGTTTACTCAGGCAACGTATCGCAGGCCTTGCATAAACGAGCCCAACAAGTGGCGAACCTGAACACGACCTCGACGCTTCTGAACCGTCTTCAGCGAGTATTCGAATTGCCCGAAAACCTTCGGAAGCACAAAAAGAGCGGCCAATTCGGCCAGGCTGTAGTACTGTTCACCTCGGCGGAGTCAATTTTGAGTCAGTATTCCTATATCGCCTGCTTCAAGGACATCCACACAGAATGCTTGCAAATCGTCGACGAGATAAAGGCTAAACTCTTGGAGAGGTTCGAAGACCGCCACGTGAACGTCAAAGATCTTTCCGAAGCCGTCCAACTACTGAATTCCCTACACGAACCAATCGAGAAGCTCTGTGCGCAGTACCTAGAGCAGGCGAGCATCTCACTCAATGGTGATCTAGAGGTTCTTGTTCGGCAGGTCTCTCTAGCCAAGGGTGACACCTCGCCCGCTCCTTCGGGTCTGCCCCCCGAGCTGCATCTCCTCTACTCTACACCGATGGACGTCCAGCAATTCGTGGATCATTCGTGCAATTCTTTCCTCGGGAATATCTCGCTGATTATCGCTTCGTACGCCCAACTGTTCGTGTCCGGCAACGGTCAGGTCGATTCCTCGATAATGGAACAGCAGCAGAACTTTGTACGGAGTCTAATCGAGGAATACTTCAAATTGGTCGCGGAGCGAATTGAGGTCGAAAATCGGGTGAATAACACTGAGATATGCGTGAAGGCTCTGGACAAAACCTTCCGGAGAATTCAAGCCTTGAACAATCTCTTGCCACAAATGGATCTCAATAGCAAGGTCTACGAGATCATACAACAGGCGGCCACCAACAAGACATCGTACTATCTCGACGAGATGAAACAATGTATCGTCAACAAGTTGGGCGAGCTGCGTCACGAGTTGATTCAACCATTCAAGGGTAGCTTGCCAGCTGTTCTAGTGAATCTCGAAGCGGCGATCTTGGAGAAAGTCAAACACGTTCTCTGGGAAATGCGTCACTTCGTTTCCCCCGACGTCACTTTCGCTTCTAGTCGAGCGCAATTCAGAAGCTTCACATCGGAGCATCTGATCAAGAAAAATCTCCTCGGACAGTTCATTAATTTTCTCGTGGACACCATGAGGTCGGAGTATTGCGACTTCGGAGGGAACCCTTTGGTTCAATTAGTGCTTTCGAAACTCTGTCTCGATCTACGGCATTCACTGATCAGGCAGATCTTCAGAATGTGCGACGACGCCATCGAAACGCAGACGCTTGCGAGCAACAGGTTGGCGACAGACGTGTCAGACCTGGTCCGCAAAGTCGATCAGCTATCCGAGGATATGCTCCAAGCGTTTGTGGTCCGAGCCGGCGATGTCATCTCCAACATGTTACGGAAAAGTGTCGATGCCAGGAATTGGGTTAGTTGCGCTGAACCGCGCAACGTGAGAGCTGTGATGAAACGGGTCGTCGAAGATCTGACTCAGCTTGACATGAATATTGGTAAGGGAGAGTTCTGAACATGGATAACAAAACTAATTACTAGGTGGAAAATAAGCATCTTTGACAGCGAGCCCTGGTGTCGAGCCTGATCCGAGGACTGCTTCGTTACAGGTGAGCTCTACGAGGAGGGTTCGAGACGAGAACGGAGCAGCGACTCGAGCCGTCGAACGTATCCATTCTCGCAACGGTGGGGCCCACCGTCGGCGAACACAGAATGCTCTCTCATGTCGAATTTGAACTTCAACAAACTATTCACTGAAAAAATCGAGATCATGAGCAAGGTGGAGCCGAACAGAATATCTGTGATGACGGGTATCATAAAAATCTCTCTCAAAACCCTCCTTGAATGCATACGACTGAAAACATTCGGGAAATTCGGTCTGCAGCAAGTCCAGGTCGATGCTCATTACCTCCATCTCTACCTGTGGAGGTGAGTTATCCACGGGAAACCTTATCGTTCTCACAGCCGCTCGCGAGCTCCGTAGTCTGTTTCTAGAGGTTTCAAATGTTCTGTCCTTTTCTCATTGCAGATTCGTTCAAGATGAACAAGTGATATTCGCTCTCTTGGATGAGATCGTGTCCAGTGCGATACATCGATGCCTCGATCCGATTCTCATGGAGCAGAGCGTCGTCGAAGTGATAAGCGACCGAGGTTGATCCGAATAAATTATTATTGTCCGTAACCTGTACATGGAGTTTATTATTATCTCGTTGCACGAATCCCGTCGTGGAAATCCAACTGGTGCAGTGCTCTTGCAGAGAAACTAAAGGGGAGCCTGCTGTCATCTCTGCTTCTTCAGCTCCTTCTCAAACTGACATTTGTAGCAGGGCTTGACATTATCGATTTTGCGGATCGTCAGGCGATTCCCGAACGATGATCCCTCCTTATACCGATTTTCACAACAGCCGCTCAACTGATGGTACCGTAAAGCATCGATGTAGATAGTCGCGTTGAAGTTTTGGCCCGTCGATCGTCTCGAGAAGAATGTCAGAGTGTCCCCGTTGGATACGACTCCGGAGAAAACTGTGACCGGGTTGTGGCCTCCTAAGATGTCAAAGGAATAAACTTATTTTCTGTTGCCTTTCTATCGGCCTCCTCCTCTCTGCCAAGACCGAGTGGAGTGTTCGAGAGAGGACAACGCCATCTGTGATTGTCGGCTCCGAGATGATTTTTGAGAGTTCGGGACCGGCGTGCGTGGAACAGAAGTGGACTGAGAACTTACACACCTGCCGGCTGTTGTTTTATCGCGAGCCTGTAGCTGGCTCCCCGAAGACCGCCGTTGAACTCGAGAGTGAACGCAACGCTCGATTCTCTGGTCCCGGAGGGAGTCTGGGCTCGCCTACGGTGCTGAGGCGTGGAGGGCGCACTGCGCGACGACTTCAGTGAAGTACTGGAGGAAGACCTCTTCGCCGTGGGGAGCATGCTGAAAGCATTTAGATAAGGGCTCTGTTTCACGGGACTATCGGGAAGCGCAGTCTTCTCCAGCCGCATTTCGGGAGAACATGGATACGCGCACCCCCTCACATACTAGGCCCAGACATGCACTAGAACTTCACGAAGAGATGGAGGTCGTCATGGAAACAGCGACAAACCTGACCTCAATACGCTTTGCCGGCGCATTAAAAATCATTAGAGCTTGCCGTCGCGGACCGCTTTCTGCATCCGGCGCTTGGCACGTTCATTATTCACGGGTATTCGGAGAAATAGGAGCAGATGTTGGACTGATCAAACCATTGTTTTATTTGAACAACTCCGAATTTCCCAAATATCATAAGGTGTTGGTTGATATCATCATCATTCATCATCATCATCGTCGACGTCGTAACCATATCGTCAGCTTCCGGCTCATCCGGGATAGTAAGTGCAATTTTTTTTACATAACAGATTGGCTGTAAAACTTCCGTCCGGCATGTTTGTCCAACTAGTGGATGATATAAATATTCTAACCTATATACAACATAACAGTTCGATTTCATAATGCTAACGGTCGATATCAGTATTACCGGTGCTAGCGCCCTGGGAGCGGGACCACTAAAAGGGACTGAGGCTCAGAATTTTTTCTCTTCGGATATTGCATTTCCTCGTTTTTCGCTATCTGTTTTGACTCGTTCTGGAGCCTGCCTTTGTTCGTCTATTCGACGACTCGAACTCAATCAATCTGGCAACAGGTTGAGGAGAATAGCAAAACAGCTGGTGGTAGTAGTGATAAGTGATCGAATCGCAACGTTTGCCGGTCGAATCAAATGCGCGCGCTACTAGAATCAGCACTCGGCTATCAGTATTGTCTTCGAAAGAGGCTACTGCGACAGTCTACAGACGAACAGTCGAAGACGGAAGCGTTCTATCTTTGATGCGTAGATACGGGTCTCGAACCTAGAAATCACATACGAAAGGATTGCCTTGAGGTGGAGCAGAACAGCTGGGAAGCTAAGGTCCGGGATCATCTATACAGTCCCCTAAGACTTGAGGATAACTCATCATCATTCCTGTCGGTCGCAAGAGGCAATGGTTTACAAAGTATGAGGGGAATAAAAGCAGCCAAGCTTTGGGAGAGCGATTCCTAGGCCATTCGGGACGGTTTGGGAGGTCCTCAGATCCGCCGATGCTTTTTCTTCGTCTTTTTCTCAATGGGTTGCCCACATCGCTCCCTCTCCCTGTCGCTGCAAGCTCCCAATGAAATGCGAGATTATAACGAGAAGGTCGATCAGGTTCATGAATAGGGCGTCACATCCGAACCGCCTCCTCTCAGGAGACGACCCGGTCGAGGGAATCATCGAAGCTCACGCTAAGTTGGAGTCGGACTCTTCGCGAACGTAGAGACCATTATCTCCCGGAATGTTTCACGGAATTATCCTCGTTTTCGACCCTCGGCAACTTTCACAACTTTCGTGACCGCTCACGAGCGGACGAAGTCCCGCTCGGAGGTCGTCAATGGCTTCTCAATGGACGACTCACTGTCAGGAGTTGCGGCCTGACGATGATGTCTGTAGTCAATGTCGAGGTCCATTTGACCTCAGTCCAAAGTCCCGATCCGCCGCGCATTCCGTCAGCTGCCAAGTTTCGAGGGCGCGCGGCACTTCGGATCGGTGAAGGAAAGAAAACCAGAGAACCGAATCACGGCTGAAAATCGTAGCCCTCTTCACCAACGCGGTCGACCGTTTTCACGAACACTATACAGGCTATCTCTACGCGCCATTGGACTCATAGAAAGCTAATCGAAACCCGCTCTCAGCTTCTTTGCTCTGCAAAGCTCACTAAATCCCTAAGCTGTCCAAATATCGTTTTCTTTCTTCCTTTCTCGCTTTCTTCTTTTTCTCTTTTCATGGATCGTCTGCTTCCGATCTATATCTGCAACGAAGAGAATCGGGGGAAATTAACATTGAATTCTCCGAACGCTTTCCCCCTCTCTCCCGGGGGACATCTTTCTCGGAGTGGAATTCGTTCAGACGAGAAGCCCACCATGTTCACTTCCTGGTGGCGGACAAGAGTTTCTGGATTTCATCTTCAAGATCTTCGTCGTCAGCCCCCGCTCCTGCTGCTACTTCTGAGCTCACGACCTCATAGCCATCCAACTCCTTTTCGATCTCCTGCTCGAGATCAGCGTCGCTCTTCGCACTGACGCTCCCGACGCCAAGCTGCTGCATGCCTTTCGCGAGGTCTTCGGCGTTAACCTGGGGGAAGCGAGCGCTCGATGTCATCGTCCAGGATGTCTATCGTGGCTCCGATCGATATCTCATCGAGTCACTCCGGAATCGAACAATTCTCCGCAATAATTTCTATGTATTTCCGTTTCAGACTTTTCAAGTATCTCACCTTCCCTTCGCATGAATCGGAGACAAAATCAGACGGTATCCCACTATCCTGGCCTTCGTCATCTGTAAGAGTTCAAATCACGAAATCTAATGGTATAAGTAATCGGTGGCAAGGGTTCAGGCACCGAATATGAGGGAGGCGAGGCCCAGCATGATAAAAAAAATTACGGTCATTTCACGTAAAATAGAGTCATTGTGCTCGAGGTACGGATCTCTTCGATCTCTTCCAAGCATACAGTTGCGTCATCTCTCTGAATTTACCTCTGCCATCGTCGGAGGGGGTCTGCGGCCCCGAAGCCGTAGAAGTGTCAGTACTGCCCCCATCGCCAGCTTTTGCCAACGAGTTCAACTGAGTTGATTGCTTCACGAGAGAAACGCGATAGAAGTAATTGCGCCAAAAATCCTGTCGGAAAAGAATCCGTTCTTATATGGTTAAGCTATCGGGCGGCGCTCCTGAGCTACGATACTATATGATACTACACAAAAGAGGACGCGAACTAAGAGCGAGATTAGGTTGATTGTTCTCGACCCAGATGACCTTAATCGAAGTTCTACAGAGATAGGCAGCACGGAATCGAGGTCGATCGGAATGATTGTTATCCTCGTATCCGAGAACCACCGGATTTTATCGTTCGACTTGGGCGCGTCGAATATTCACCAAGTTCCATCTCTCGACTGACCTGTTCGTTGATAAGCTTAGGCACAAGATCGAATCTCATTTTTTCAAGTCGTGGATCTTCTTTAAGCATTGCCATAGCGATTGGAGCGAAATGGCCCTCGAAATCAAATTCGAATTGAACGCCTGCGCAGGAAGAAAGTGATATCGATGAAAGGCGTTCACGACTGCTCGGCCGAATCCGAGAGAAGATCTATATTTCATTTCTCCGCGGCAGCAGGATAGCGTTTGCTTTCTCGCAAGATCGGAATCCATCAAAAAGAAACGAGTCCGAGGGATCGGAGCCACATCAGCGGGAAATTTCGGCGGAAAAAATCCTATCCTCATCGAGAGGTCCGACCTAATCGAGATTTGGGGACTGGACAAAAGCAGCAGCGAGATGGAAACGATCCAAAAACGAGCGAGCTCCAGAGGAGAGGAGGGAGCCACACTCCACAGCCGGAACTTACCATTGGGCGGATTCCTAACAAAAGTGCGTTTATCCTCCGATAAAGAAAGAATTTGCTTCTTGACCTCGTCTGGATTTTCGCATCCAGACCAAGGAAGACTTCCCGAAGAGTTCTTCGTTAGCGAGGCCAGGAACGATGCCTGCTCGTGGTTGAAGTCCGCTAGGATGCTCTGCAAAACAAAAATGTAATAATTATTCGTAGATGAATAATGCCAGCGGCGTGATCCCCTCTATACGCACATGGTATGGGGGTCGAGGTCAATCACGATCGAGAACGCTTAGCCAGTACTATTCTGGAGGCCCCGATCATCCGGGGATCCCGGGATTCCTCCATCACCTGAGCGCAGCGATACCGCGACCATTACCTTGCAGAGACCATCGTCTCGAATTCGGAGCCGCCTTTCTGACGTTCTCGGCGCGAGTGGCCTCACTGAACCTCATTCTACAGGCATTCTGGGATCGGGGCTCGACAGAGGAGAAAGCTCACAAACTCACAGCCCAGGGGTCCCCGGGGAAGTTTTTTTCCCCATCAGCCAGGCGAACGAAAGCCAACGGACTCCAGGAAAACCAGCGATGATGGCCGGTAACTGACCAGCGCGGCGATTACCACTAAATGTGATGGCAAGTACTCGATCTGGCAGAAGGAGCTCCTCGTCGGGGAATATCCGCGCTCGTGCATCGTGCGATCTAGAGAGTACTCTCGCTTCCCCAGAGTCCACCCGGTGGCACAAGCTAACTTGGTTTAGCCAGCTAGTTGCACAGCTCGTCGCGACTCCCTCGCCTCTCGGTCCCTCCAAGGTCAACACCGCAAACTAGTCTACAACGAGCGCGGTCGCTATTCAGCAACTTGTAGCTCCCCAGGATTACGAGAAAACTCCAAATAAACGCGTCCTGCTGCTGCTGTCCTCCTGTCTCCCTCGAGAAGGCCCGAGCAGACGAGCGGACCGTCGGTCGGAGGTCGTGCTGGATGTCGCAGTGGCAAGGTCCTCTCAGCCTTCGCCGTTCGGTGTTCTCCGCCGTACGCTCGGTCGCATTCACTCGTTGCGAGCGGTGCTACCAGCGACAAGGAAAACAGCCGCTGCCTCGACCCGAACCCCTCCCCAATCGCTCGCCGCTCATTGGCACATTTTTATAAGGAGCACAGCAGAGCATAGGCACTGATTTTCCTTTTACATAACGTATCATCATCATCGAGAGGGATCTACTGGGCCGTGGGCGCACGAACTGACTGAGGATGACCACCTCGGAGCGAACACATAGACGCGGTAGCCAGACATGAGCACACTTACGTTCTCTTCAACTGTGGTCTTGATCTTGGTGGCCGTTTCGGTGACAGTTTTTCCGGCCTTGTTGGCGACAGAGAAGAGGAAGCTTCCAAACGTCTTGGCCCCCTCCATGGCCTTATGGGAGACGTTCTCCACGTTGTGCAGCACTTGGCTCGTGACTCCATCCTCCCTGGCCTCTCCCTTGGTTTCGGAAGCGGCCGAGGATCCCTTGCGGGAGCCACATGCCTCGTCCTTCGTGGCGTCTGCTGCGTCTACGGTAGCTTGGGGCGTAGCTCCGCTGTCGCCCCCGTTTCCGACGTCGCTCGCTGCCGGATCCTGCAAGAAACAGAAACAACATCAGATGAGCGAGCTCCTAACTCCCGAAGTCAAATATCAGTCCCTTCAGTCTGTTCCTCGCTCGTCGTACTCCGCTCCTCCAATTCCGCGGACGTAAACGGCCACTCCACTCCTCCAACTGAACTGCGATACCCGTGCGGACAACGACCGATACATTTAATACGATCCTCTGCTGTATCGCTGGACACGCCGATTACCCTCGACGGACCCCGGCCACCTGTAGTCCGGCTGAGCTTCTGAATCCTCAGGACTCCCCGATTGGGCTCCCTAGTGACCCTCGAGCTCTGCGTCGTCGCGAGAGACCCGGACGCATTGAAGCACTCCCTTCCGAACAAGTGGACCGCTCCGGAGTTTCTCGATCCCCCCGAAGAGCTCTTTGTTCTTTCTGTGAGCGTGGACCGCACTCTTTCAGAATAGCAGGCTTACGGCGGAGAAAGCTCTTGGAGGAAACAAGTCCGCTCGCGGCGAGGAGGCAATGGCTGGACGTCGGCAGCGCTCGCCACGTCGATCGAGAGCTCATGCGACTGTCGCGGCATCTTTCGCAGTTCCGGAGTCGATGTCACCGCCCCCGTCGTTGTCTTCTCCGCCTACGGCCGTTAGCGCAGTTCGCCGGAAGACAAACCTCGGCTCGAGCCGCAGCCGTCGTAACTACGACAGCTTCAAGTTGCTCTGGGTGTTTTCAAAGTGCCGTCCCGTACTCGAGCGAGAGTGATGCTGCATAATCATTTGGTGCGTGTTACAGCTCGAGCCGGGCCCAGCAACGTCGGGAGGAACGATCCGCTCCGCGAAATGTTTCCGGGAACGCATCGCGTTGATGGCCGAGGGAAAATAAACTGCTCTCTCTCTCAAATTCGCAGAAATGCGACGCAAAGGACAGCAAATGTCCACTCGGGCCGTCAGCAAACTCGCGACCTGCCCGAACCTGTTCGGATTCAGAGGTTTCGGAGTTCCAGCTGCCACGAGCACTTTTCCTAATCCACTTCCGTATTCAGCCGCTGTGGGGACGCGCGAAAGCAGCAGAGCGTCGCATACAAGTTCTTCTTCGTGGAAAAAAATGGGTACGGCGAACAAGAAGGCTTGACCGATCGTCTGAATGCTCGCGATTCCTTCGTGTAGAATCCGCAAGTAAAAGCCGATTGGAGGGGGAAAGCTGCCTCGTAGTCCTCTTCCGTGTTGCTGTGCTGAATCGCGAGCAGGAGGCCGAACCGCAGGCGATGCAATATCGCCCTCGGTCGACAAACGTGGTGATGAAAACCGCCTCGATGAATCGATACATCGCTGGTCTTGTGGGCTCTTCCAGGCCCGAGGGGGAAAAGAGGTTCCCGGTAAGAGAGGCTCTCCAGCGAGAGACTCTCAAAGGGCTCGAAATACACTAAGTAAGTGAGTGAGACGTTTCGATCGAGCGAGAGAGCGACCGACCGGCCATGCAACGGATCGGAGGGCTCCAAACCGCCGACTCTGTGTCGAACCCGCGGTGTCATTCAGCGAGGATTAGCAGAGCTTAGAATTGCCTCCCTGAATTAGAGCTCGCTGGGTTAGATAAGCGTGGGATGGCTTCTATTTTAGTTGCAGCTCAGCTCGGGGACGAGATTTCAGCTCTGGCGGAAAGGTAAAGGCGTCCCCGACAGACTCGCGGACAGGCTGCGGAGAGGTTACGAACTTCTAGTAGAGAAATTGGATTGCCTGACCTCCCCTTGTTCGCTAGCTTCTCTTTCATATTTACTGCTTGTCTCTGTCTGAAGGTGTTACCGTTGCCTTTCCACCCCGAAGACACACTCCGGGCCTTGACGCGGTGGACGCGAGCTTCAGTTCTATTCCCGAACCTGAATCGCAAGCCCTGGGATATTCAGGTCAATCTGGCCGAGATCCAGGGACGGGATACCTCGACAGGTCTGCTAGGGTCGAAGTCTGAAAGGCTTCCGCAAGGCGTTCGTGCATGTAGGCGAGCGCAGATCATGATGAGCGACACGCATTTTTGGGATAATACGTAACGCTACCGGCTTAGGCGATCAGAGCTCGAACGCACATAAAGCAAAGTAAAACTCTGCAAGATGGGAGTTAAGCTTTGTCGGCGGCGCTATTCTAGTTTTTGCTTGTCGTCCACGCCGAGGCTTTCCATAAAAAACTTTCTAGTTTACGATCTATGAGAGCCACATGAGATTCAAGTCGGCTGCGGCCGAGGGCACCGCTACCACCACCTGCGTTCCTCTGAGTTACAGCCCCGAGCTCCATGACGGACATTCCGCTCTCCTGCGATTCTCCCCGGTCTTCTCCTCTATTCCTCGCTTGACCGTCCTCGCGGATCCAGGAAGTTTGACTCTAGAAGAAGACCCGCATAGTTGCGGCTTCTGAGGGCCTTCGACTTCGGTGATCTTTCGAGAGTCTTGGTTTAGCTGGGAATGACGGAACCAAGAACTCCCGGAGAGGAATAAGCGATCCGAAGCGAATATACGTAGCTCTCGTGCCGACGAGCAGAGAGCATTTGACAGACGGGCAAACACTTGTTGCTCCGTTCGGATCTGTTCCTCGTCAAGCACAGAACGACGGCTCTCATTAAGCTCCGAGTTTGTTCCTCCGTCCCTTTTACGTCGGAAAGAGTTCGGATAATCGCCCGCGACTCGGGATGGGGAACATCCTTTACTCCGACGAATCCGATAAATTCTGCTTCATGTCCCGTTCCGAAAGAACCCAACAGTCGTCTCGGTAATCGAATGAGAATCCTAGCGGACGGACTATTGGTCCTTTTTATTGAAGTTGTTGTCGTTGCTGTTGCTGTTAACGCTGTTGTCGCCGACTTCGAGCTCGCCGCCGTTGACCGCGGGCTAGCCGGACGGTAGCTCGGACTATCGAATGTCGATGTCGCATCCGACGGCGAGTCCTTTTATTTCGTCCAGGGAACGACAAGAAATCCGCTTTCACCCGGGCAGTAGCCACTGGGAATGTGGTTATAGCAGCGAGAGCGACGACGGCCGCAAGAACAAGCGAAGAGCTGCAGCTGCTCTCATCACTCCGTCGAATGAAGTCATAGGGAAAGCTGTTGAACTCGATAGAGTTGGAAGAAGCCTCGCTGAATAATTTACTTTGAAGCAGACCAACGGTTACCCGGGCGTTCGGGAGCCGCGAGCTCGTCCTCCCGAGCAGAAGAGCGAACCCTTTCTCGCTCGCGGGTCCGACCAATCGAGCGAACATGGAAGCTCGGAAACACTTGACAGAAGAGACAAATGAGTTCTATTTCCCGGAGAACTCACTGTATCCGAAAGCCTTGGTCCGATCACGTCCGGGCTCTTACCGCATTCCTCCTCGACTCTGTCAGCATCTCCCTTCCCCTCCCCATTGCCGCCCCGCGCGGGGGCAAAAGCCGCGTTGTGAAACGACACCATATTGTACGCAGTAGGGGGCGCGCGAGGACTGGCGCAACGAGGAAATTGATTTCGTCGCTGATAGCCTCAGCATAAAAAGTAAATCAACAGCCCCGAACGAGGATTCAGACCTTTTCAAGGTCGCAGTGTGTTGCTCCAACAGCGCCAAACGCAGGTCATGAATCAGCATGCCTAACACCCGCCTAGCTTGTTCAGCTAAGATTTTGAGGTGGGGGCACGTCCTGCTCAGCGACCTCATTTTGGGGAGGGGGACTTCCCTCCTGGTGCTTCGTCTCTCCGATACCTGATTCACATAAATCCACGTTATTTCCGCCGCTCAACGTCAACAAACACCGACCCTCGTGGCTGAGGAATTCTACGGAAACTCGACACCCGGATCGGGCGTCTCTCACCGCCGACGTACGGTGCGACGTCGCACCGGAGCGAGGAATGACGCATGGGTTCGACTTACTGAGTTGAGTCTGGCTAGCAGCAACAGCCACAGACTGGCCCTCGCTCGTTCGTTCACATCAACATAGGTCGAGCGTTGGTGGCCGCTTTTACGGAAAGGGCCGCCGCGGGAGCGAGTCTACATGGATATTGCGCAATAGCTCTACTGGCCTACTCTGAGGGTCCCGGGAACATCATCAACAAAATGAAATAAAGGTCATGTACTCACGGCTGGTTCGGCTTGAGCGGTTGGATCCTTCGGAGACTCGCTGTTCTCGGGGACGATGGCGGAGGCGGCCTTGTTCCAAACGTTCGAAATGAAATCCATTTTCTAAATCCTTGCCTTACTGCCTGCGCTTGCTTATACGAATGAAGAATATGCTTTGTCGTGGCTATTCAGCAAGCTTCCCTTCGGTTTCTTCCGATTCTCGTTTCCTCCGAACGCCTTAACAATGAAGAAGCTTTTCCTTTATCTGTGGCTCTTGTGACACTTTGGGTGTCTCTCTCGACGTCGTCCGGATCGTTGCTGCTCAGCAAACTGCTCCGGTTAGTTTAACCGAACGGCTGATTGGCTGAGATATACAGCAGGCACTGGCGACGAGTCTGTGGTTGCGCGAGTGCACCGAGTGAAAGCTCGCGAGTGAAGTTGTTCCTACACGAATGGAATTCCGCGCGATCGCCTTCCAGAGAATTCTGCGTCGTACGATCGCGGCTGCCACAGGTTCGGTCGCTCCTAAAGGCTCTCAGCTGTTCACGTTGAGCTTATCGACAATAATTCGATTCGTCCGTGCGCGAGCTCAGACGATTGCGTGAGGCGATCTGCTGCTGCGCACGATTCAATCACACCGTATCCGCATCGGGAAAGTCTACAACTTCAATTAAATCCCCGGATTAGTGCAATGATCGCGAGAGGCAGACTAAGGTCGGCGACAGGCTTCTCAGTGCAAGCGACCGTTCACTGTCGGTGAGAAGTTGATGGCTTCGTGATGAGTCGCTCGGATCGAGGGGAGTTCGATATCGGACCTCCCTTTTGTGCTTGGCGGTGAATATCAGGTTAGCGCTCTAGAGGCGAGCGAGCGAACGAGGTGAGTGGGCGCTCTACTGAATTCTATCGAGGCTTTGATGAAGTCTCCCTCGTCGTCTCCTCTTCTGCCTTCCTCTCCACGTAGCTGTTGTGGTGGCTCCTTGAGGTTGACTGTGGAGCTCTTGACACTCCTGATCTCTCGAAGTTCGGAATCGCTGAGTGAGTGAGTACCTGACTTGCTGTCTGTCTACTTGTTCTTTCTGACCTGCCACTCGGACTCCCAGTCACTCAGCTGATCGGAGTCTGACTGAATGACCTATGATCTCTCTAACTGTTTGCAAGCGCACGGTTTTCGCGTTCCGTTGCGTCGTTGTCGAGACTTATATTCTGCATCGAATCGCTGCCGCCTTCGGAAGGAACTCCAGCTCCCTTCTCAGTCGTGGCCTTCGACGTCGTTGATGAACGAGTTGAGTAACTACGCCTGATGCTGTTCTCCTGCTGCTGCTGCGTTGCAACGTGGTACGAAGGCAATCTAATCTGGAACTTCGCTGGCTTAGCTGCTCTGCTTCTGTTGAATTTTCTAACTCGACAGCTGAGCTCAAGCTACGAGAATCGGCGAACGAACGAACGATCAAGCCACGAACGAACGAACGAACGAGCGAGCGAACTCACACACACACTAACCACCACGGCCGATAGACAGAACGAGGAGAAGCTGAGAGAAGATATGAAACATCGCAGACCCGATGGAGGGCGCTATCGGCTCTCCGGGTAGCGCTGCCAAGCCTTGCCATTGGTTACTCGACTGCGCATAACGTCTTTCCCACATTGACACTCTCCACAATACGTCTTAGCGGCAAAGTTTGAAACTTGGAGCGTCGACTGTTGTTGTGTGCTGAATGTCAAACGGATGCAGCGGCAGCGTCGCCGTCTCTCCTCCTCCGCGGTTGTTTTCGTGTTGCGCGCGACGGATTTCCGAAGACTTATACATAGGCTCGTACCATCGCTCGTCGTTATTTTAGCATGTTCGTGCTCACGGCCAGGATGTCGAATGATCGAACGTTAGTTGTTCTCGTGGAACGACCGCGCGAGGGGTACGGGGTTCGAATCTATTGAATGAAGTCTGTCGATTCGGGAGAGCAGGAAATGATGGTAATAATCGTTCCTAGAGGTTCGAGAAGATCGGGCGCTCCCTTCCGGCTTAAGGAATTCAATTTTCTTTATGGATCGACCTGGGTCGCGAAGGATCACGCAGATACACTCCGGTCTGCCCACAAAACCTGCAGGTGTACGGGGCAGCTAGTCTAGCCCTGATCCGCGACTTCCGTCCAAGCTCCCGTCGGCGCCTAGCTCCTAGTTCGGATCGGCTCGCTCACAGAAGAGCGAATATTTAGTGCTCTCCGAGCTCTTCCCCTACCGAGGAAGCTCCCTTAAATGATCAGATAACTTCCCGAAAAAACCTCGTATTGCTCTTGCTTTCCCCCGACTTCTTTCGAAGTAGTCGAGCCTCCATAAAACGGAGTCAGTCTTCGTAATATCCGATTGCTGCGCGTGAATATTCAAATTGTAGAGCATGGACCATGGATGCGGGAAGACCGCAGCGAATAGCTGGAATAGTTTTGGAGTCTGATACAGTATTCAATGAGCCAGCAAAACTGAGAGAGATTCGGAACGTCTCAGCTCCGTCATGTGCGGAGGCAAACGCTCCGCCTGAGAACTCTCTCGAGTCGTCTCTCTGGGCGAAGTCGATCGAGGTCCATTCCGCAGGTCAGTGGGTATGTGGCTAACCAAGATGAGTCCTCTTTGTTCCCTATCTTCCGAGGAACTTCGTCATACGCGTAGGTTCTGGCAGAAGTACTTCATAAGCGGGGGAGGCAAGAAGGAACGACGAAACAATCGTGTAGGAATCATATTTCGATCCCCGTTCACAGTACAACTCGTCCGGATTATGTACGTAGCGCTCAATCAGAACTAGTCAAAGCCGTGGTATCACCCTCATCGAATCGCTTGAAATGAACTGCTGCCCGCTGCGTTCTATCCTGTGGAACTCGGGGGCATCGCATTGTATTCCAAGATTCCGATCGGAGCGTTCTTCAGCATACACCATATCGCTGAGGCGATTCCTATTTGACCGCTATCCAATGGACAGGAACGGGATTGTGGTAAGATATCGCGCGCTTCTATCTTCGATTCTCGTCTGGGTCTGAAGCAGGACTGAGAGAAGCTCCACCCTTGGATCGTCGAAATCTCAGGTGGTGTGGCTGCCTGGGCTCGGAAATCAAGGGCGTCCTCTTCACTTGACCAGGCTGTGACGCTATCTCGCTTTTCGGAGCAAAAAACTCAGTTGACCGCCTTAGCCGAGCGGTTTATCAATCGATTATTTTCAACGCGTCATCCTTTCGGTATTCTCGACCTGACAATGATGACCCTGATGTCGTCGAACCCGAGGTTTTGCTTTCCTGTCATCGGGGACAGCCGAAAAATTCGGGATCTAGCTTTGAATACTTTTCGTTCGACAGGATCCCTCCGAACGAGCGGCTCCAGAGTTGTCGGAGGAGTCTTGATTGTTTTCTGTCCATGAGAGCTCCTGCTCCGCGCACTTAATTGGCTAGGCAAATGTTTTCCCTGATCCACCTGATAACCTGGTCTCATTTTCCGCATATCTTTCTAGAACAGCACGATTTAGCCCAGGCCGACGAATGATCAGGTTATTAGGAGGAGCATTTCTCGTGCCGCTGACGATGTGGAACGATAAGATCACGAGGCTGCCCGCTGGGAAGGCTTCTTGTCAGAGTCGTATCCACGGACTCAGCGCTCGAGTCTCGCTTCCAGCTGATTCATCCCGAAAGAGGTCCGTCTCAAACTCGAATTCCCCCGGAGGCAGTATGATAAGAAAATTCAAGGGAGCTCTTGGCCCTCTCGAGTCCTATCCCTGGGGACTTCCTCCTGCGCCCATGTGTAATGGATTCTATTATGATCTAATCGTTCGATCCGTGGTTACGACGACTGGATCACATGTGCTCGCGTGCCTCTGCGGTGCGACTCCAATACGATGGGGTACTCCCGGAGAGCTGGATGCACCGAGCCTCGCTACCGGAACAGAGCGTTTCCTGAAGGTAGGCTTCTCATGCTGGACACCTGTGCCTGGCTTGTAGCCCGGAGTAGTAGACTTGACCCTAGCATTCTACCGATTTCCTCATCTTTGAAGTGATATTCAGAGTGGAGAGAATATTATAAATCATGAGTATTGAGTTCATGTGCGATATTTCCCGAGTCAAGAATGCTCAGCGGTCTTCGGCATCTTTCCTTGCCGCTCGCACCGCCCGTCCTGGTTCCGGTGACGATCACGTCGGAAACGCCGTTGAGATGCCGAGCACCGGACGTTTTTTTCATACATAAGCCCGAGCGTGAGAAATGTTCGGATTGCTCCGGACTAGCTTAGTGGTCTTCGAGAGTTCCGAAGCGGTTCACCCGGGCTCTATGTCAATACCAGGAATCCCGGCTATGTTCCGAAGATGCTGAGCTATAATTATTGTGTCTGAACAACAAGGATATGAATCCCTCCCCGCCACGGATATCCCTCCTGAGACATAAATTCCTGCGCAGAATCAAGAAAGGAGCACTCAGATATCGGATCTTTCGATGCTCTGCCAGAGCTCCAATGCAATCTTCTGCGTGTTTCCGATGCTACGACGATGAGATAGGCACTCGCTCTCTTTGGGATTGAGTTTCCACGAGCTATGATAAGAATCGTCCTGACACGCTCGCCGAGAAACGAAGCTATATCGGGAGAATGAAATGCGCTCCTTGGACACAATAATCTGAGTGCAGCCATAAGGGGAGCAGCTGAGCGACTTCCCACCTGCCCTCGGAAACACTTCAAGGACAAGTCCGAGCTCCGAAAGTTCACTCAAGCTGTTCCGTGAATGCTTGATCGGTCGTCTGCGTTACTAGGCTCCTCAGCCATCAGCATAGAGAATCCTTGTGCGTTCCAATCAGAGGTCCGCTGAGCTCGGGAAAATTTCGAATCCCGACTACCACTATCCCCACCGCTGGTGCGGCAGCCCAAGGTCCTGAGAACCCGACATGGAAGTCGCGAAGATGCAGGCTGCTGATTGGAACTCGATTTTGAGTCGTTCATTTTGACCGCGCGGATCATGAGTCGAGACGGATTATCACCACAATAGACTTTACTCTGAAGTTATTCGAATCTGGGTCCAGCGCCCGGATTACTCTGTCACCAAAGAGCTCCCATGAATCGTGGAATCCGCAAACTGCACTCGCCGGCTTAATTGAGGAACGCAATGGCCCTACGTCGATCGATGCTCTTGTGCCTCTGCGGTGTGACTTCAATACGAGGTGGAACACTCGGAGAGTTGAACGCGGCGACTGTTGTCACCGAAGCTGAGGATTTCGCTCTTCGCTCAAATGTCAGGGCCACAGAACTGCTCATCCTGGACGCTAGTGCTTGGCTGGTGAATGAAAGCATCAGGCCCAAAGCAAGCCTACTCGTTATGTCGAGTCCGCCAGACGTGGTCGGTTTCTCGGGTTTCACGGAAGTCCCTCTCTACTTGGACGCACTCGCCTTCAATCTGAGTGTTGTAGTCATTTCGGCGACGCCTTGGTATAGGAATATTTTCAGGAACATCGTACCTGATCCGTTCCAAAATATCCGTCACAAGTGCGTGCTGCATCTCGCATTATACGAGGAATACCAGCCACGGAAGACTCTGTATGTCAATACCCTCTTCTGGAATACGGACCGCACTCGGACCTTGACTTGCGTTCGTCACTTCGATCACTTTATCTTCCGGATCGTGCTCCCCGTCGACGGAGTCTGTCCGCCTAAGAGAGACCTGTGCTCAGTAAGACAGGTTTCTGTTGAGCTCACTCGTCTGGCATTTGACCTAAACGGGGAGCTCTTGAGCACGGTGGAATGTAACGCCACTGTCATCAGAACGAGGCATCCCATCTACCAAGCACCGCAAAGCGATTATGCGAAGGCCATGTTACATCGATATGCGACGCTACGGAACGATGCATTCGAATGTTACTCTCCGATCTTGTGGCGCCGCACAGATGTTTCATTCATGTTTAAACCTTTCGGAGCAGAGGTTTGGATTCTGATTGCCTTGACAATTCCCGCGATCGCAAGTCTAGTTTCGTGGCTGAAGATCGATACTTTCTTGAATGCTCTAGCCAGCATCGTGATGGGTTTCATTACGGTGATCGGCTTACCAGCGAATTTCGCGAGATTTTCTCATCTATTTCTTCTCATTTCGGCGTGTATTCTGGTTTTCTTTATCGGGCATATTTACACGAACACCTTCATGTCTTATTTCTTGGACCCGAGGATTCCGCCGGTCGGAGACGATCTGTTCGATTGCCAACTCGATCTCCGGTGTCTCTCCGTAGCCTCGTTGCGTTATCACTTGAGCGACGGCGAGTCGGTGTGCAATCTGAACGAAAGACAGCGCGTGCTCATAGGGAGACCCCTCCAGCGTCACGTAACTCATAATATTGACATCATTAAGGAGAAGAGCGTCTCGAGTCTCCAATATCTCCAAAAGGATCTATTTGGCTCTAAGTTCTCGAGGAACGTGATGAATGGACAGCTAATGTTGGTCCTGGTCCGAACAAGTTCCACGATCGACCGATTGATTCAGAGCGGCATCATGTCGATCGATCGCCTGGAGCCCGACAAAGCCCAAGTCGACGAATATCTCAGAAGTCCCGCGGCTGCTATTCTCGGATCGCTTTCGACTTATCTCGGACACTTACTTAATCCCTCCCCTCCAGTCATGGAATTCAACACGACGAGTGATTTGTTCGACTCGGAAAAATTACTCGAAGTCGTAAGAGTATTCGAGATCTGTGTCATTCCAATCATCATTGTATGCATGCGCGAATTACTCGCTTCGAGATACTCGAGGATCCATGCATGAATCGAGATCCTCTGCGCTGTCTCTCGAAGAGAGGAAGACCGACAGGATCGAAGGCACTCGAAGCGACATCACGGTTGGCTCGGGACCGTTTCTTCAGACACTTACGGCTAAATCGGCATCGATACCCGTCACGAGTCGGCAATGCCATTCAGATCAATAATCTCGGTTCAGATTTTCCTACGGCTTCCGCTCGTTTGATGAGCCTGAGGCCTACTCAAATCCGCGGTACGGTCTTCGGACTTGTTCATCTCGTCGATCGAGCTTGATTGGTCGAAACCCTATGCGAGAGTGAGGGTTTCCTCATTTGCCATTTTTCTTTCCCTGGCGCGCTGCGGAACCGGAGCAACGTCCGCCCTCGATAATAAATATCTTGGTCTAGATTATGAATGTTTTGTTCTTGGTCCGAACTTTCACAGCGCTCCCGATGACCGAAGGAAATCCGTCGCGTAATTTACAATCAGAACCGTTCCGAGGGAATCGAATGAACTTGAGGAAATCGATTCGCCCGTCGAGGCGGACGAGCCCTCACTCAAGGAGCTTTCTGATCGGGACAGGATGCCGTATTCGATCCCAAATGACAAGAATTATTCGTCGCCGCGAACGATGTGGGGTCGCAAGAGTATTTGAGTCGACGTCAACTCTATGGCAACGAGTACAAGTTTCGGCCAGCATTTTCGGTTCATATGTTTCACTCTTTCGAAGTACATCGTTTTGCTAGTGACCTCTCTTGGCTAGAGAGAACTCGGAACGATTTCGCCTTCGATGAGCTCCTAAGAGATTGTGGAGCGTCCTATTCCGAGGGCCCACCTCCCCACATGTCTCTGCCTGACTTTGATCAGGTTTCTCAGTCCCTCAGGCATAGTTATTGCAGCGTCGCAATATGCGAGTTGCGGCACTGCAGTGCCCTTCCAAAGAACTCCTATACTCCTATTGAATCTTTCGGAGCTCCCTAATGCTCTCGCGTTGAATCTCTGGATTGCCTTGTTCGTCTTTCCGGTCAACTTATCCCAATGTTGTGATAAGTAGTCCTTCTCGGCCGATAGCTCGATTCCCAGATACTTGTAGGATTCTACTTCTGGGATCTGCCTCGCTTGTATCGTGAGGCTCTGATCGTACTCATGTGGTGAGGACGATCGGAAGAGGACAATGACTCCGCTCTTCTGGGGATCCAATTTAATGCATTGGTCATCCCCAAGATCGGATCTTACCTTCAGATGACTTTCCATATCAGTCGTCAGCGAAAAGTAGTCCGGGAACTGTGAAGAATCCGTTTCCCTCCGCATGCCAGAAATTGCCTTTTTTTCGCATTGAATCCCAGTCCCATCGCCAGGAGTTGTTTTCCGAGGTCCGCGATGTATAGGCCCAAGGGGATGGGAGATAGAGGACACCCTTGTCGAAGTCCAATAGGGATGGATACTTCGTTCGAGGTGTATTCACCGTGTCGTACGAAGGTAGAAGCCTCCTCGTGCAAGTGTTTCACGAGTTCCATTATAAGCGGACTCATGCCCCTCCCTTTCGATGTTTGCCGCAGCTTCCTTCGGTCTGTTTGATCGTACGCTAATGTGGCGTCACAAAATACGCAAATCTCGCCCGTCTTCTGGACTTCTGGGCTCGTGCGATCTCTGTCGCCGATGTTAGCACAAAAATGTTATCCTCGCGTCGGCGATCTTTATCAGACCCATTCTGCATCTCCGGAAGCTGTTCTGTACCTCCCGCCTTCTGTTTCAGGGGCTTTCCCAGCATTTTGATCAAAGTATTGAGTATGGTGGAGAAGAAGCTGGCACAAAATGATGCTCTCCGATGATCTGACGGGGACCCGACATCGTTGCTAAGGTTTCCTCCTCTCCCTCGTCTCGCCGATCGTATCGCTGAACTTTAGGATAGCATAATTCGAGGATTCTGCAACATCATTACATCCCGCGTCGTCATCGAGGTGAGCAGAATCGGAATCGTTACACGTATCCCTCTCTGAAAGCCGTTCCTCGCCGTCCCGAGGAGCTACCTTCTGGAGGCGTTCTCTTGCCTCTTGCCCATGGAAACGCTCGCGTCGTCCTCTCCGCGCCGACACAGCTGACAACAACAAAAAGAGCAAAACGTCTGGTCATTCGGTGATTTTGACACCGTCATCTAGCTTGTGAGTAGCCGCGTCGGCAATCGGCTCGGGTGAAAGTCTAATATCGGGCGCGCTTCAGGAGAGTGCAAGAAGGAAGATGTCCGCAGTTCGAGTACTTGCGAATGCCATGAGCTCAACAAAAAAATCTCGATAATCCCATAAAAAGCTCGGCCGATCATTCCGGTTTCAGAAGCCGGTCAAAATTAGGAAGTCCCGAGAGACATGGCCTCCAAACGCCTGGTTGTTGAACTTTACTATGATGTAGTCTCGCCGTATTCCTACTTCTGTTTCGAGGCACTGACCCGCTACAGACAGCCGTGGGACATGGACCTCAGGCTGAAACCTTTCCATTTGGGCGGCATCATGAAAGCGGCCAACAACAAACCACCGGGCATGGTGAGTAGACTTCTAGATGTTTGCTTAAGTATCTAGTTGCGAATTACATCTTACGTTTCCGATCCGGTCAGCATCGTGCCTCACAAGGCTCGTCCGCGCCATGGCTGTCTTCTGTTTCACTCCTCGTATTCCTTCGCAGGTACCAAACAAAGCTCGTTACATGCTCAAGGATCTTAGCCGTCTCTCCAAGTACTACGATGTGCCTTTCAAGATACCCGAAGAATTCATGGAATGGGTTTTGACCAGAACGACCCTCAGCGCGCAGCGTTTCTTATGCGCGCTCCAGCTCCACGGACCGGATCACGTAGAAGCAGTGTCGAGGCAAGTGAATCTCTTGCGCCTAAGGAGTTTATTTCCGAGGGATCCTATTGATTCCTGGGAAACTGTCCGTCTCTCATACCCTTCTCTGGCAGGGCATTCTACCAGCGACTATTCGGGGAAAACAAGGAGATAATGTCGCTTGAGTGCATTCCCGAAGTCGCGAAGGCCGCCAATCTAACTCAAGACTTGATTGACAAATGCCTCAAAGCGATAGAATCTGACGACGTGAAGGACCTGGTGAAGAAACACACGGATGAAGCACTCGACATGAACGCATTCGGAGCTCCGACCATCGTAGCTCACATATCCGGGAAGAAAGAAATGTACTTTGGTCAAGACAGGCTCTATTTGTTGGCACACGAAGCGGGGAAACCGTGGCTCGGCCCCCTCACGCAAGCGAAGCATTGATTTCGATGCTGCTTTCTATTAGCTTCTAGTTGCCACCGATCGAGTCAATAGGCTCTGAATAAAGAATCCGTCAAGTGACTTCACGGTTGGTCTGCTCGCATATCCTACGAATCATCTTGCGCGCCTCGCCCAACTTTCCTATTTGATTTTCCGCCACCAGGGAGCCCTTCCGCTTACTCTACGATGGTGTGCTCGATTCAGAACGTTGACAAGAGGACAAGAGGGCGAGACCTCTCTCAGTGGTCAGGAGAGGAGGTCACTGATGTAAACACAAAAATACTTTTGACTGGAAGGATCCCTCCGAAAGATCTGGATGCATCCATCTCCGGGGTCCCCCTGTCGATGAAGAGGAAGAACGTATCTGCTCATCGAGAGCGTATCTGCCATCGTCTTGAGAATCAGGAATTATTCATGGGATCCGCCACATCACTGACGAAGTTTTCCACCGCTCGTGGCAGAACGAAAAAGTGAGAATGTTCCGAAACGTAGATCCGAACGTGCTCTTCACCTAGAGTTTTTGGACCTACGCGTGGACTTCGGAGTCGGAGCGAATCCTCCTTGCCACCATGACTGGACAGCGGTTCGTCGTAGAATTATTCTACGATGTGGTTTCTCCCTACACTTACTTCGCATTCGAAGCACTGTGCCGTTACCGCCAGGCATGGGACATGGAGCTCAAGCTGAGGCCCTTCCTACTATCCGGTCTCATGAGAGAAAGTGGAAACAAGAGCCCTGCTGTCGTACGTAATTTTCCGCCGATTCGGTTCGATTCATTCCCGGACATTGATTTCCGGTCCTATTCTCTATCAGCATGAGATTCGGTCGAGAGGCGCTGAACCATTCTAGATTTCTATCAAGGTACTCAACAAGGGGATATATTGCGCGAAGGACCTCCACCGTCTGTCGAAGTACTACAACATACCTTTCGGTCTACACAGAGACTACGTGCAGTGGGTTCTGTCGAGGAACACGCTCCATGCTCAACGATTCCTCTGTGCGATCGATCTCTACCGACCAGAATATCTCGAAACGGTGTCCAGGTGGGGGAAGCTAGATTCAATTTTTTCTCACTCAGATTTCACATTGTACCTACTGATCCTATTATCGATCTCCCACGGGAGTATCATTGATCGTTTCCCTCTTCCTCTGGTAGGCATTTCTTCCGACGCTTTTTCGGCGAGCAGAAAGAAATAATGTCACTGGAATGCTTACCCAAAGTGGCAGCGGCGGCTGAATTGCCGCGAGATGTAGTGTCAGACTGCCTGCAAGCGCTTGACAGCGAACCGGTGAAAACTCTTCTCAGGAAAAACACGGGGGAAGCTCTGCAGCTCAGCGCTTTCGGCTCGCCTACAATCGTCGCAACAATCAACGGTCGGAGAGAGACCTATTTCGGACAAGACAGACTACTGCTTCTCGCGCACGATGCCGGGAAGCCTTGGTTGGGTCCCCATCCCGATGCTCCTGCGAAGCTCTGAAAAGAGCGATGTATGTAACTAGGAAATACTGTAGACGTAGTACTATGACGCCGAGACGTGGGGGAAGAGTGTCGAATAAAAGTTTTCTCAGCGATGAGCAGAGTATTTCGTCGCGGGAGTTCGCAGGCTGAAGGCCAGTGAGAGCTCCCTGGATCAGTGGAGCTGATGACCTTCTCCTTTCGTGAGTCGATAACCCCTCACCGGGAGAATGCCGCTGAGTCGCTTGGAATCGAGTAAGTTGCCGCTCAGGCTCTGAAGTGTTCCCAATCGCGGATAAATTCGGTATAGACCCTCATTCGTCTCGATTCATTCATGATTCATGACATCTGAATGGTTCCCGTCCTCCCTCAATTCCAGTGGGACCTCTCAGCAGCGGCGTGACGTGACGAAGTGGCGCCCTGCGCGGATCTAGAGAATGACGCCCCGTCTCAAGAAGTCCCCCCACACGCCATGAAATCTGTCGCCTCCCCCCCCCCTCCCTTCTTACTCACGACACTGCCTCGCTGCGAGACTCCATTAATAGATGTTAGAAATGGAAGAATTCGAAACAAGCCGGGCTCTCATCCGACCTGCGCGCGCAGCGTCCGTGTCAACATTAAGCAAAGATCATTACATCATTCGTGGTTTTCGGCAGCATTTTTAAGTTGTGTGTGAAAGAGTCCGTTTTTGGATCGCTATTCGGATTGCAGTAAGCCATCGATCGATCGAACTTGGTTTAACGATAAACAGCTGGAAGATGGCAGCGAGCGATAGTACGAGCGATGACTCGCTCTACCCGATCGCTGTGCTTATCGACGAACTCCGTAACGAGGACGTGCAGCTTCGGTTGAACAGCATCCGCCGCCTCTCTACGATCGCATTGGCGTTAGGCGTCGAGCGAACTCGATCGGAACTGATTCCATTCCTGACGGACACCATCTACGATGAGGACGAGGTTCTTCTCGCTCTCGCCGAACAGCTCGGCCAGTTCACCCCGCTCGTGGGAGGAGCAGAGTTTGCCCACTGTCTCTTGCTACCTTTGGAATCTTTGGCCACCGTTGAGGAGACCGTGGTCAGGGACAAAGCCGTCGATTCGCTCCGAGCGTTATCGCAGCAGCACAGCGCTACCGATCTTGAAAATTTCTTCGTCCCGCTGGTGAAACGTCTCGCGACCGGGGACTGGTTCACCTCCCGAACCTCAGCCTGCGGCCTGTTCTCCGTTTGCTACGAAAGAGTGTCGACAACGGTGAAACAAGAGCTCCGGGACAGTTTTCGCAATCTCTGTCAGGACGATACCCCGATGGTGCGGAGAGCCGCCGCCGGTAAACTCGGCGAAGTCGCCAAGGTAATCGAAGCTGAGTTCCTCAAGCAAGACATCATTCCCATGTGGGCGTACCTGGCCCAAGACGACCAAGACTCCGTGAGGCTGCTCGCGGTCGAAGCATGCGTGTCCATTGCTCCACTCTTGTCGCAGGAAGATGTATCCAACCTCGTAATGTCTACCCTGAAGGCCGCCAGCGAAGACAAGAGCTGGCGTGTGCGTTACATGGTGGCTGAGAGATTCACCGATTTGCAAAAAGCCGTCGGTCCCGCGCTTGCAAGAGAACATCTTGTCCCCGCGTTCCAGAGCCTGCTGAAAGATTGTGAAGCCGAGGTGAGGACAGCCGCCGCGCAACGCATAAAAGACTTCGCTCAGAACCTCTCCCCCGAAATCCAGGAGCAGGTCATCATGACCTCGATCCTGCCCTGCGTCAAGGAGCTGGTGATCGATACGAACCAACACGTGAAGACGGCCGTCGCCGGAGTGATCATGGGCCTCTCGCCGATCCTCGGCAAAGACAACACCATCGAGCACCTTCTTCCGCTATTCCTCACTCAGCTGAAGGACGAATGCTCCGACGTCCGTCTCAACATCATCTCGAACATCCAGTGCGTCAACAGCGTCATTGGAATCCAGCAGCTGTCAACTTCACTTCTGCCGGCCATCGTCGAGCTGGCCGAAGATTCGAAGTGGCGCGTTCGCCTGGCTATCATCGAGTATATGCCTCTGCTCGCCGGTCAATTGGGTGTCGAGTTCTTCGACGAGAAACTCAACCCACTCTGCATGACGTGGTTGGTTGATCATGTGTTTGCCATCCGCGAGGCCGCCACGATCAACCTCATGAAGCTTGTGGAGAAATTCGGCAAGGAGTGGGCAGCGACGACGATAGTTCCCAAGGTGGTTTCAATGTGCCGCGACCAGAACTACTTACACCGGATGACTTGTCTGTTCTGCATCAACGTTTTGGCTGAAGCGTGCGGTCCCGAATTGACCTCAACGCACCTGCTGCCCACGGTTCTCAACATGGCCCAGGACGGAGTGCCGAACGTGCGATTCAACGTCGCGAAGTCGCTTCATAAACTGTGTTCGGTCGTCGATAAAGCCACCGTTCAGGGTCAAATCAAGCCCGTCCTCGAACGTTTAACGCAAGACAGCGATATCGATGTGCGCTTCTTCGCCAACGAAGCCATGACTTCCCTCAACTGAGCAGGTTTCCGCCAATGCAGCTGTCTGCGTGCCTGCTAACGTGACACCGCAGTTGCAACTACCCAGCACCTCCATCGGCTCCACTGCGACGAGGGCAGCAGCAGAAGCGACTGTGGCCCCGGGAGCTGTCGCTATTGGTTCGAGTTTGTCTCATTGGGATAATTCAACAATAGCCGACGGGGGGAACTCTGTAAGTAAAAGAAGCATTGAATCTGCGATTTACACCGATCAACTACTGGGAGGTCAGCTACTGGAAGCAGGAAGACTCGGATATAGTCAGCCAGCCCTGTGTGAGGTTTGCGGATACACTACGTCTAGCACAGACTGTAGGAGAAAGACAGGAGCTTGACCGACTCTCTCACACACATGAACACATACAGACACCCAACCGTACGCATTCTGGAAATATACGGTCGAATAGACACACAATATATCACCAACAACCAAATCACATCGCCAATTTCCCGTAAATGAGCAACTAAATGGAACCAATGATCGTCGTCCATGTGAATCGAGTGGTAATAGGCTTTAGGGGCGATGATGAACTTCGACATGAATGTCCATTAGCTTTCCCCTTACCTACCGCCATTGTCTGCGGGTCGTCGACGTTGGCGGTAGACCTCTCCGGAAAGTAGCGGGTTTCCTGGATATGCTGCTGTTCCTTTTCTGTTCTTGAAAAATTCGCGCTTTCGTTCCCGCTCTCGATTAATTGACGGATCCATCGGCTGGCTGTCTGACTCATGATGAAGAACTCGTTCGCGTGCCCGACGCGGCCCTGTTGCACGGTCGGCTTACCCGGAGTGTTGCGAGCGAATTCTACCTCCACCTGCTACCGAGCCGCCGACCGCTCGATCGGCTGGCCACCTTCTGGTCGATCAGCCCGCTATCCCTCGTCTACCGGTAGGAATAGTAGTTCACTTTCATGTGATCATGGGAACGATTTCATTCAAAAAATGAGAACGACGTTCCGGCCGATCGAGCGTGCGTCAATGTCGTTCAAGTGATTTTATGTTAATCTCGTTGTCTGAGGTAGTAGAGAGAACAACTTCACAAAGGAGAACATTAAGTAAACAGAGCAATGGAGTGAATAAAATGATGGAGAGTAAAGAATGGGTCAAGTCTGCTCGCAAATGAGAGCCTCGCAAGCCGAGAGGGACTATGAGGAGACAAGGTCCTGATCTCGACGTCACGTGACTTATGTTAGAAAGACTTGATTTGGCAAGGTCATTTCGTTGGAGTAAATAAAGCAAATATTAATCGATAAGTCGAATCGCTTGTTGGTCCTCATTGCCCTCCCGAACGTACTCAGCCATTCTTATCAATATCGAAAGGAAGGATAACATGGAAGCTGACGCAGGACCTCAGAGCAGAAGACAGTCATCAAGATAAATGGAGAGGGAAACATTGAGGTCCGCAGATTTCTCGACGGGCGCTACGATTTAAATACGCAAAGGAACTTTACGGATCATGATTGATGTCTCTGGAGATGGAGCCCATAGGGGAAAAATGACCGCTTATCAGCTGATGGAGGGTACATCACAGGATTCCATGTTTTTTTTAGCGCACGCCACGCTCGCCGCGAATCGCAACGTAATTCTGTACCTCTACGAACTCCAGGGAAAACACAGCCCATCTCCGGAATGTGTCGTAGTCCCGACATCTCTTGAGATCAGGGAAACATCGTATGAACTGAGCGTTGAACCGACAATTTCGATCGTAAACCCTATCTCTGGAGCGGCGCCTATCACTTCCTGGAGGTGCACGATAGCCGTGGAAGCCTGAAGTATAGGATCATCGGTGGGACTAGGTTCATCGATGCTCGGATCCAGCTTCGGAATCGACCCCGATTTCGGTTCTGTTCTGGAGCTGCGGAAGGTAAAATTCGGTTCTCGCTGAGCGCGGACGTACTACCTTCGAGGAAAGATTTCAATTTCGGCGGCTGTCGCCGGCTCAGTAGGGGGATTTCTATTCGACAAGACGGACCGAGCTCCGATGCCCGCGTTCTCCGTCCTAGAAGGCTTCGTTCTACGGAGTGCTGACTGCATGTCCGAGCGCCCCCTCGATAATTAGGAGGCTGAATTAGTCATCCTTGTTCCTTGATCCTCCGCGAGTGTATTCGCGTCGCGTGGGTCCCGAAGAATGACCTGAGGGGGCTGGGACCTGCATAATGTGGCTGTGTATCGAAGGACGAGCGCTTCCTTAATCCAAAGCTCTTCGGGAAATCCACACAACTTCCCGGTCTACGCGTAACCGGAGAGACGCTGGAACCAGGAAAAAGCCTTCTCCGTGAAGAAAACTCCAGCCATCGTGGAAAGGAAAGAGGAATTCCGACAGAAGATTCCATGAGGGTTCGATTCAGAGTCACATTGAAAAAAGTGCGTCTTTATACAATCGTTCCTTAACATCTGAAAACTCATCAACGTCTCAACAATTTCGCCATCATTTACAAAAACATGAGGGACGCTTCGAGAGTTCGACAAGAGTCCACCCTCGTAAATGAGTTCCGGACGTACACTCCGTCTCTCGACTTGATAGGAGAATTATCCGTCGTACACATTCATTCCACGTGGATCAGCGCCCTCGAGCGGTAGAGATGGTGCACCGTCCCCATCGATCGCACATGAGCCAGGTAAAGCTCGCAATCAACTACTGCCTTCTAAAGCTATTGTCTTCATGTACATATCTTCGAGAAAGTCGAAAACCGACGCAAATGCCATCCATGAGGTGAGCGTATGCTCAGTCGTCCCTGCGGAAACCGAGGCGATATCATTCGGTTGCTGTGTCAAGAGCGAATCCAGCGGACGGTCGCTAATACGCCAATTTTTCGCAATTTCTCGGACATCATTCAATATAGAAGCTGGCGGCGGGAAGTGCACGGAATCGGTGAAGGCTATGGCCATTATCCTGAGAAATAAAGAGATGTTGTATGTTAGAGGGCAAAATCGATATCAGGATCGGTCGCCTCTGAGAATGAGCTCGGGAGGACAGGAGAATCCCTAAATGGCGAATTTCGGGGAGACTGATTCCCACGGGTCAAACGTCTGTGGGGAAAGAAGAGGAAAATCAGACTCGGAGTAAAGAAAATGTAGCCTTCGAAGCTATCCGGCAACACCACAGAGCATTATCGATGAGGAAATCAGTATGAGCCGCATTGCAGGCTAGATGTGAGGGTAATCCGATGCGTCACCCCCGACTGAAAAGATCAGCCTTCTCTATCAGCAAAGTGGCGTCATCCATGTCGTCATGATGAATCATCGGGAAAGACCAGCATTCGATATTCCGGATGGAATAGAAATTTCGATAGTGGGAACGGAGCAACCGAGAACTCATTGGTAAGGCTGCGCGTCTTATACACAAGAAAGAGCGAAATATGCAGGAATATGAAAATTAATGACTTGTTTCATTGACCAGGCGTCATTCTCATCCACTTCATCGGAGCACGTGAGAAAGGTAAGAAGCTCGGAAACGCCCCGAAAAATGCTATAAATGCGGGACGAGTCGAAAATTGAAGTGCAATAGCGCGCAAGGGACGTATACAGAGAGGTATATTTTTCTATTTTGAAGCCAGCAGAGCCAAATGACAGCGCGCAAGAGCCCACCTGTTAATGGCTTCGGGCCGAGACGCCAGGAGGTTCATCGTGACGACACCCCCATAAGAGTGAGCGACAATGGCTACGTGTCTCGCCACTGCTTTTGACACGATCTCATCCCAAACGTGGAGCGCGTGCTCTTCGGGTGAACTGCTACTCCGGATCGGCACCCCATCCCTCGAGTTATCATTCGGATTGAGCACCAGAACTCCATATCCTAATGCGATAGCCCGTCTTATATAGCCGATCTGGGTTCCTGGGGGAAGAGATGCGTGATTTGACATCGATCGAAATTTATTCCAGGCTATGTATGGGGGGGGGCTCGGCCCTTCGAGTGAGATCTGATCCGCACGGAAGAGTCCATAGTGATTTAAAGTGATCGAAATGCACAGGAGATGCAGTAGCGGAAACATATTAGATTTCAGGGCACTACGTACCTCTTTGCAGGGAGTCGCCGATGATGAGTCTCCGTGCCCACTGGCCCGCGCGAACGACACCTGATCCATGGATTATGATCAGAAGTTTCTGTGTGTTGCTGAGCGCGTCATGTGACTGGAAGATGAATGTCGATGGAGCGTCGCCTTTATGATCCACGGGAATGTTCACCTGCTCGAGACCCTCTTTCAGCAGGAGATCGTACACATATTGGTCTAGCACTTGTCCTGCAAAGAGAGCGAACAGATGAATAAGTCGAATCCCGTCGTCGAGGAAGGATGGGTGAGAGTCGAGTCCTAAAGCCCGAGCCGATGAGTAAGAATCAATCCCCTGCAAAAGAATCGCCGTCTCGATCGGAAATCATCCTGAGGATCTTTATGTCGTTGGGATCAACGCCAAAACTTTCTGGTCTCATTCTCGGTCTACGCGATGACCGATCGAATGACCGACTGAGCGAACCACTAAAAACACACACCGAACGATGGCGCTTAGTCAATTACGTCCGTTGAGCGAGCTTGCGGTCGAGCCTTAGCTGGACAATGGACTCTCAAACAGGGGTCGCGTGGGCTGACAGAGCCGCTGCTTTGAACGTAACGAAAGTCGAGCAACGAATGAATATTCAGGTGAAAACTGTCAATCGCGCAGCGTCCGCTGCGGTAGAGCTCTATTTCCTACTCCATTGAATTCCAAGCTTTGACATCGGGTCCGAACCTGTGCAACACAATCCTACACGTGGAGACGTTCATGAATCGCTTGCCTCCACCATTCTTGCAATTTATAGGAGAAATCAGTTGAGGACTCTAGATCATGAATTTCTGTTCCTCCCGTTTTCTGACGGTTGGACAAACTTGATATGGATGGCGCCAGATCAGCATGAGTCCTCTCGGCGTTCCTCTCGATAGAAAACGTGTGTTTCAATCTCCGTGTAGGCAATCGAAAGTTTCTCACCGAGCGCTTCGTAGCGTCGCTGATTGTAAACGGCATCCGTGCTGACAGCAAATTCAAACGGTTTTCCAGTCTGTATGCTCCGGAGTCGCCCTCTGTCATTGAATCGGTATCCGAACCCCTCCAGAGTGGAGGGAAACTCAGGCTCCATGTACCCTGAGTTGTCCTTGAAAGGAAGTTTCAGCGTCAAAAACGTGACGAGAACTTCTGAGAAAACCCACGCTAATCGATTCAGCCTGGACATAGATGACAGAGCGCCGGTTGTTAGAGATCAGCAACTTAATTCTGACAGCTACCGCCCGTCAGAAAAACAATTCGCGACGGTACACGATCGGAAGTCTCAACGGGAGCAAGATCGAGCTTGAAGAATAACATTGTTCCGAGCGGATCCGAATCACTCCTCGGACAAGTGTCACTCACGGAGAAGCGGGCGGGTACTCTTCAATACCAGGCGGGGAGCGTACTCGTCCAAGAACCAGACCACTTCGGATGATGCGTATACCGTGTTTTGCTCCTTGTCGGCTGCTGCGACTGACGACTGCAAGAGGAGAGCCGCGCTGCTCACCCAGTCCTCTCCGGGCGAGGACTGCTCTTGTGGGAGGTCGCTAGAAGCAGCGACAACATTATGGAATATGGCCAACATCATTGTCACATTCGGAGTCATGGCTTTTTCGTGGTTTATGGTCGTGATGTAGCGCCGATGCCAGCGATTCATAGGCGCGTGACTCGAATGATCGAGCCGTGTTGAGTACGACTCGGCTGGATTCACTCTCTCTGACTTCGGGAAGCATCAATGAATCATGGGAAATATCTCCTTATGTTGTCGGGACGAAATTGCTTTGCGAGACGCGAGTGCTGAGGTTCCATCATTGGAGCCTCGCGGCGGGGAATCCCGACCTTCAGCGACAGCTCACGAGGGAACATTACGAACTGCCCCCCACCGATTTTGCTGAAATTTTTCCCGAATGATAGTCCCACCGAGAGATGAAATACGAAGAGACTTTTCTCTAGGCCTGACCTCTAGCGCTTGCAACGATCCGGGGCATTTCTTCCGACTAGCTCCCCATAGGACATGCGGGACCGGATTCCTCACCCCGGGTTTTCCCTCACGAGGATCTCACCGTCTATCCGACCCATTGCCAGCGCGGTGATCGGCGCGCTGAGGCGATGAGACTCATGACTCTTCGGTCTTTCTTCATTCCTCGGAGCTCGTTCGGTTTTCAGAGGGTCGTGCCGCGATCCACGACGACTCATCTCGGTGTAACGAGCAATGGGCTCATGACTTGGCCCTGTCCATCAGCTGGGTCTGTGTTATTCAGACAACTTGCCGCGGCTGGCCTGAGCTCCGCGGGCGGAAAGATTCGGATACCACTGGGCTAGATAATACTGACCACAAAAGCTACTGTTCTGGGAACAACGACCTACTTAACGTTCGGTTTCGGCAACCGTGCGCTTTGTTACACGAGCGGCTCCACCATGACTCAACCTAACCTTCACCTGGCACACTTCGCTCCGGCGTTACGGTTCGCACTCGGCATCGCATTCCCCATTGGCGACGCCGATCATCCGGCATTTGCCTAAACTAGTCCGCTCACCTAACTCACGAGTATTGTCTCGTTCGATGTCGCCTCCGTTCGCCCGGCTTAGAAGCGCAGCTCAGACCCCGTCTGTCCCACAGTTCACCGTTCTCAAGTCTGAAAATTGTGGTGTTTGTGCCGTCGTCCCATCCGCGCGTGGAGAGATTGCGCTCCGCTCCTTCCCGGGGAACTTTGAATCTCCGGAAAAGTGATCCCTTTCTGACGAGGAATCAAGAATTCCGGATCCGCTCGGGGAAGCTCGATCCCGGCAGGAGGGGTACTGAAGTACAGGAATTCCTCTGCGAGAGAGTCCGATTCCCCTTCTGCTGGAGCTTCGAACATAGTCCGTAGCGGAGCGTTCGACCAATGATAGGCTTGCTGCACAAATTTTTCCCGGGAATTTTCCCGCCGCCGGATTATATCGATCCGATATTCGGGCCAGAAATACCGGACCCATGGTGGAAAAGCTATGGAATTCACTTGTTCCTTCAGTTCCTTCTGTTCACAATCATCGCTTTCGTTGGAGTCTTGTTCCTCTACATGATGTGTAACATACGTCGGTGAGTGATGTCTTGATTCTCGCGGCGTACATACCTGATTGTCGCGTTCCTTCTATCCCCAATGAATTTCCTCCGACATTGCACCCACCAGGTATTTTCCTCGGGCGGGCAACGACAAGCTGGAACTCTACAAAGAAGAACCGCCGATCGACTACACCCCGCCGGCTTCTCGCAGGACGTCCAGCCAGCCGGTTCTTCCAACGCAACCTCGCGCGAGCAGTTCCCACTCTATGGCGAAAACGTATTGAGGCTCAGCGATCCATTCGAAATGATCGTAAATTTTTCGGCGTACAAGAGAATTGCCCATGCTAATAAACCCTCCCAATGGGTATACCATCGAGGCTTGAGGATGTAGATTATTGAGAGAACTGGGAGCTGCGTAGCTTCCAGAAATCATATCGCCTCGGGTCGCCTAATAATCTTATACCAATGAGATTCAGGGTTTGGAATTCCTCGCCTCGTACGCCTGGATATGCGTCAGCTCCCGGGGGCGATAATGAACAGAATATATTTGAATCGAATATTAGTAGAATTTATTGAACAAGATCATCAAGAATGTAGATTACAGACATCTTGCCACCATCATAGACATTTCATATATATCTCCGTAACTCTGACTCTCTCTCCTCGATCGCGCTCTCTTCCTATGCTCTTTTTGCCCGCTGTCTACGATTTTACTCCACGAAATCGCAGCTATAGATCAGCTTGAGATTGCGCAATCGATTTCTGCTCATACAGATGGTTTTCCTTTTCTCCTATGCCTCCTACCCCACTTATTGCACGTCAGGATTCCTCTAGTTCAGAGGATCATAGTCACCCTCCTTCAGGGGGATGTTCTGTCCGACGGCTTTTGCTGAGAGATGAATCTTGACCCCCTCCTGTCGTACTTACATCGGTAATTATCTAGTATGTTTGCCAGTCAATCGTGACAGAGGTCGATTCCAAAAATATTGGCCACAAATTCCAACTGCTGCCGGGCGCTTCTATATTCCTTTTTCTCGCCATCGTCAAATCTTTCATATCTGTCTCTCTTGCTTATCCGCATTCTGAGCCATATCTCTTATCAGAAGCAACCCTTTATTCGTGAACGACGTCAAACGCACTTGGTATCTTCGTTATGTCTTTTCACTTCGTCAGAGAGAACAGAAGTCGGTCACGGCTCTCAGCGGAGGAATTCCATCGATGATCGTCCGAATGACTTGAACTCATCCTTCGTTCCTCCGCTTCTCTCAGACATCGCAGCGAGCCGAAGCTCCTCTTTCTTGTTGACGAATCCGATGACTCACTCACGTCGAAGTAGGGAGGAGCGAAATTCTTACAGATTCTAAGGGCAACGAGGCCTCATTTCCATCTTGCATCCGTCTCTTAAGACCATCAGGGAAGCGAGGTTTCCTCTTCATTCGCGGAACGAGAAACCCGTAAGGAATTTCTACAAATTGTAAGATAATAGAACCTTGCAGCCTTGTGAAGGTAGTCAGTTCTTATCTGGTAGCATGAACAACTATCCTCGTATTCACACTATCCTCGATGGCAATCATCGCTCTATCAGTCATCGGATCAATTCATGAATCGCAGTATCCTTGAATGACCCCACTTATCTGTAGTTATTTATAAACAAAAATGGTGGTCTAATAGATCATTGACTATGTCCAGCGGATACAACCACGACCGAAGCTCGAGCCTAAATTCGCTTATGCCTCATCTTGCTTTCCTTCAGCTCGTATCGCTCTCAAATATATTTGCAACCATTATAAAATATAGTATAGTAGAATACTCACTCACTTGATTCGTTGATCAGTCATCCATGTCACTCATCTGTGGTGGTTGGCAGATACTCTCAACTCTCAACCGTCAGTACCACGTAAAAACAAGCGTCAGTTGTGATCGGGCTTCCTGAGGTCGCACGCAAAATTCAACCCCGTCAGAATCAGGACCAGACACTAGAATTCCGTGGTTGCAAGTGGATCAATGGGATCGTGAGCCACATCCCATTATACCACAAACTGCGGATATCAGTCTCGAATCCTGGGATTTCGCTCCACGAGAAAATCCCCAAGACAACGGGTCGAACGCATAAGTTCATCGAGTACGTTCGTCAAGTGCAAACGATCGCTCAAAGAACGCTTCCCCGAAAAATTCAATTTTGCGCCCAGACTCTCATAGAGACCAGGGCCGGATAGATGGAAAAGATTTTCGGTCCCGGGCCCAAGGGACGTTGCCACTGACCCCCGAGTTGCAGTCCAAGGACTAACATCAAATCTTGGATCCAACACATGGAGGATCGTCGTGCATGGCGTCGAAATCGCGGGGATTGCTCGATATCAGTAAGATCCTCACACGTGTCTGACTTGAGCGACGAAGGTTGAATAATAATTTTTTAAGTCTATTCTTATCGACATTGCTTCGAGCTAGCAAGGAGAGGTTTGTCAGTTGTCAGGTCACGACGCGAATTCAAATCTACATTGTCAGCGACGCTTGGAAAAGTTCAATCCCCATCTCAACAGGACTCGATGAGTATCTGAACTTATCGATCTTTGCTTGGATGTTCGGCTGGTGTTCCGCTGTCTGACTTGCACTCTCTCTCAATGATAAGAGTTACGACCTACGACCGATCGACTGAACAGCTCTCGGATATCGAGAGCCAGCCATATTATCAGAACCAGCGACTGCATTCCGAGTGAGGAGTCACTCGATGCTTGATTGGTGGTCTCTGAAATTCTAAAGAATGGACCGCCGAAGCAGGAGGCGGGTGGAGAATCACCAAGTGTTCTCGAGAACGTAAGTTCTTCGAAATCTGTCTCTCCTATAAACCAGCAATCGTCTCTCCTCTCGATGGTGGTACTCATCCTCAAACAATAATCCAGAAGATTCGAATCGTGCAGCTCCTTTACCTAGTGTGTGTCTCGATCTCATTGAAGGTGAAAGTATACGTACCGATCGCATTCATCTGACTAGGTTGGTTTGGATAATGACTTGTAGAACAATAATGGGGTTATAATAGTCATCGTAGGATAATAAGAATCTTAACTATAGTAATTGTTTATTCCTCATGTTTCCACCACAAGCTCTCGATTGATGTCAACATTAGTCTGTCGATCGAGGTGTCACGGTTTAACAAAGAAGCTCATGAACAATCGGATAATGGAATCGAATCTCGATTCTCGGGCTAACTCACGCTCAATTGTAATGTTTGCGGTGTCGTGTTATCGGTGGTCTCTGCTCTCTGTTGAGTACCATAATTCGTTTTCGAGACACCCGATCGAATCGCTAGTGTAAAGGTGGCG